TTCTCATCATCATGTTCCTCATCATGTGGCGCTCTTCTTTTTCATGTACATTTCAACTGTGCCGTTAGACCTTCTAACGGGACACTTGAAACGTATATAAAAAATGATAAGGACGATGACGAAGAAGATGATGATGACGAGCACCGTGATGATGATGCTGATGATGATGATGATGAACTGGACACTTGAAACGTATATAAAAAGATTTAAGGACGATGACGAAGAAGATGATGATGATGAGCACCGTGATGATGCTGATGATGATGATGAACACCAACTGACATGATAATCATCATGACGCATCCTCAGCATCACCAGCAGTCATCATGATAATCATGTCCACGCATCTTCTGCATCTCCAATCGGGTCTAACGGGACACTTGAAACGTATATAAAAAAGATAAGGATGATGACGAAGAAGATGATGATGATAAGCACCGTGATGATGCTGATGATGATGAATTGACATGATAATCATCATGACTCATCCTCGGCATCACCAGCAGTCATGACGATGCTGATGATTATGATGATGAACTGACATGATAATCATCATGACGCATCCTCAGCATCACCAGCAGTCATCATGATAATCATGTCCACGCATCTTCTGCATCTCAAATCGGGTCTAACGGCACTGTGATGATGCTGATGATGATGATGATGATGAATTGACATGATAATCATCATGACTCATCCTCAGCATCACCAGCAGTCATCATGATAATCATGTCCACGCATCTTCTGCATCTCCAATCGGGTCTAACGGGACAATTGAAACGTATATAAAAAAGATAGGGACGATGACGAAGAAGATGATGATGATAAGCACCGTGATGATGCTGATGATGATGATGATGAAGAATTGACATGATAATCATCATGACTCATCCTCAGCATCACCAGCAGTCATCAGGATAATCATGTCCACGCATCTTCTGCATCTCCAATCGGGTCTAACGGGACACTTGAAACGTATATAAAAAAAGATAAGGATGATGACGAAGAAGATGATGATGATGAGCACCGTGATGATGATGCTGATGATGTCCGCGCATCTTCTGCATCTCGAATCGGGTCTAACGGGACACTTGAAACGTATATAAAAAAGATAAGGACGATGACGAAGAAGCTGATGATGATGAGCACCGTGATGGTGATGATGATGATGATGATGATGAACTGACATGATAATCATCATGACGCATCCTCAGCATCACCAACAGTCATCATGATAATCAAGATAAGGACAGCGGCGAGGACCACCACGCTGATGATGATGATGATGATGATGATGATGATGATGATGATGTTGAATCTTCGGTTATGCTCATTTACCAGCCAGGCTTGGACTTGTAACCGCCCTTCCCGTACGCCTCCCCCTTTGAGGAGAAGGGGTCGGCGGATATGGGTGGTCCTCTTTGGGGTACCAGAGTCTTTAGGGTAGCAAAGGTTGTTTTTGGTGGTCGTCTTTGGGGTACCAACGTTTCTAGGGTAGCAAAGGTGTTATATGGGTGGTCCTCTTTGGGGTACCAAAGTCTTTAGGGTAGCAAAGGTTGGTCCTCTTTGGGGTACCAAAGCCTTTAGGGTGGCAACGTTTTTTTTAAGGGTGGTCCTCTTTGGGGTACCAAAGCCTTTAGGGTAGCAAAGTTTTGTTTGGGTGGTCCTCTTTGGGGTACCAAAGCCTTTAGGGTAGCAAAGGTTGTTTTTTTGGTGGTCGTCTTTGGGGTACCAAAGCCTTTAGGGTAGCAAAGTTTTGTTTGGGTGGTCCTCTTTGGGGTACCAAAGTCTTTAGGGTAGCAAAGTTGTTTTTGGTGGTCCTCTTTGGGGTACCAAAGATGTCGGGGATATTTGGGGGATCCAATTGTCTGGGCTGGCCTGTGTCCGGGTGATGCAGGGGATGCTGAGGATCTTCCGGTACAAAACACGTCAGCGGTATACCCTACGGGTAGGGTTGCCCTAGCCCTACGAGCTCGAAGACACACAGCGCAGCTGGATTTACAATAAGCAACAATATCTACTTCGAATCCCCACCTGAGCCGCGGTTTCTTGGCCGCAAGCTAATTTAGTAGGGACAGGGACATTATTATTGAACATGTGCGCCGCGCCACACGCGCGGAAGCATGCGGAAGGCTTTGCGCAAGGCATTCTTGATATGAAATTCATTGTTTCAGTTTGCGTGCCTGGAAAAGCACGGAGTAACAACTGCAGTAGAAGCAGAAAGGTGTCGCCGCGTATGAGAAACGCAACACTTACTAGAAGAGCAGTTACCAACAACAAGCCAAGAACAGACGGCAGATTTCGAGGAAGGTTTGCGGAAGGTTTGCGGACGCTTCTCGGAAGGGTGGCCCCGTGTTTGCGGGCAAGCGCCCATGTAGCACAGGTAGCTCAATGGAGCCCAAGCCCACGCAGACTGCGAAGCACTACTTTCCTTCCTTACTTAAAATGACTTTCCTTTCTGCGCCAAGACTCGTGGAAGCAAATCTTGTATAACATGCGCCGCGGAAGGTTTGCGGAAGCAAGCAATGAAACACGTGTTCCGCGGAAGCTTGCGGAAGGGACCTCTTAGCGCGGCAAGGATGCGGAAGGGTCCGCTGAAGCTTGAAAAATGTCCAGCCAAATTTGTAGGGAATAAAAACCAACGCTCACCTAGGAGAATTTCTAGTGGGTGATGCGAAAGCAAAGCAAGCAAAGCAGTGAACGACTACATCGCTGTAGCTGCCAAGTGCAAGGAGCAAACAAGGAAATGTCATATCCTAAAGCACAGCGACAAAACTGGTACTGTTGGCGCAAGCCTCGAGCAGAACTGAGCTGTCGCAAGACTATCTCGCAAGACGCGCCAGGCGAAGGCCGCTGAACCAGCGCGCTGAACAGAAATCCGAACGCCAACGCCAAAGTCGCCCAAAGCCAGCCAGCGAACCTCAACCCCGCAGCTAAACAAGGCAACCCTGATTCAAGTGAGGCTGATTCTGGAAATGCGGCCAGCAACTGGCCAGCCAGCCCGGGACAAGACCACAAGAGAAACCAGGCGTAGGAAGAACACAACTCCCGCTTTTGGGGCGGATTTACAGGGAGAAGAAAAAAAGGAAATTTTTCGGTGTCCTCCTAGTTTGACGCATATTCACTTACTGTTCGGGGGCGGGCTTGAATGTTTAGCCTTGACGCCGGCTAAGCCCCAGGTTAACCCGCGTGCAACTTGGAGTGAGCCCTGCATAAACCTTGGTCATTTTAGCGAAGCCAAACGTTGACAGGCGTTGGGGCCTTTTGAGTTGAACCGTTTGCCCATGTAATGTTCGCCCCGCTCCTCTCGCGCAGAACCTCATTTTCTGAAGGGCGGTTTTTATTCAGCGTTTCATATTCTGTATTTTGAAGAGGCCTCGCCGCTGAAATTCGGATGACTCTGTCGCCAGGGCTGATGGTGAGAAAGCTGACCATCGCCAGGCACCTAGCGGCCCAAGCGGTAGTAAGGGTGCTGAGGCTTGGTGGCAGAACCTGGCATTCCCGTACCAAGAGGAAGTGTAAAGTGATGGATGTTGAGGAATACAAGACGTGGCCTGGTAGAAGTTCCTGCTAATGTACTGCGAGGCACGAGCAGCCACTCCCTTTTTATCTCTTGAGCTACTGCCGTCGTTGGAGTACTTTACTCCTTCCACGGGGCCTTTGTGCTGATCATTGTCTAGCAACTCTCGGTGCATGAGTGCATCGCCATTGAGTCTGCTCTTGAAGAGAAGTCCACGCTTTGCTGGGTTGGCTGCACATGGAAGCTTGAGCCTCCATGCGGCCTTCGCGTGTGGCTGCACGCTGCAGGCCCAAGCAAAGCGGGACACTCTTGATTGTTGATTCTTTACATGGTTTGCGATAGACTGCTTAAATACTGGGTCGTTCAAAACAACAAGAACCCCTGCAATCTTCCTTGGGTCCTTTATGGGCAAGTTTGGGCCAGTTGGTGTGGGTGATCCCCTCGCAAAGGAGGTTTTCGCCTTTGGATGTGTCCTTGCGGAACCCTTTTGAAAGGGAGTCAGCTTTTTCGGAAACGGAAGTTACCCTCCCAACTCCCAGAGGTTTGGCTCAAATTAAGGGCCCCTCCTGCGAAAAATGGGAAACCACCAGGAAACCAACCACTTGGATGGGTCCGGGAGATTTTCAGAAACACCCAACTGGTTTCTGGGACGTCCAACAGGGACCAACAGAAAGCCAACCAGCAAAATATCACATTCTTCCGTTCGCTTAGGAACATGTCCTATTCTCCGCCCCTGGTTTTAAGGGGCCCCGATTTCACTACTGGACACATTTTCTCATTTTTTCCGGGGGGTCAAAGCAAATGGACGCATGTTGCGTTGAAACCCAACCGAAGCCCTAAGCTGTTGACAGCCAGGTGGTGCGGCTCTTGGGCTCGATGCTTGCTCAGGAGCTCATCGCGCAGCTATCGCAGCTGCAGAACGCCACCGACGCCTTTGGCAAGCCCTGCATCCAGAAGGCCAGCTTCGCGGCGTTCACCGCGGCCGGAAATAATTGGAACGAATTTGGGAATTCTCAGCGCTTGGGGGGAAGTCCCCAGTTGGAGAAAAAGGAAAAACGGGGGACAAGGAAGGTGTCCCTTGGCCAAATCACGGCGAGGTGCACGTCGCCCAACTGAAGAACACATGTCTTCGGGTGGCTGATGTCCTTGTGATACAAACAAAAGAAGCAACAAAAACGAGGGTCTGCCATTTTGAGACATGTATCAAAAAGGGTGGTTTCATGAATGGTTTACAATCAGTTGGTTTATGGCCGGGTTTCCTTGGTCAAACCGGGTCTGGTATTTTGGATGGTGAACCCAACTGGCCGGGACCCCAAGTTTTGAAGGCACATAGGTGGCTCGTCCTTTTTTCTGTGAGTTGCTTCCATTTGTTTTTTGTTCCTTGTTGGTTTTAAAGGGAATCCAAGGCACGGCACGCCCACATCAGTAGCTGGGAAACCGCGGTGGGAGCACCAATTGGTCTTTGGACAGATTTCTCCCCATGTGTCCCGAATCCATTTTCGGGTACCCGATGTCCATCCAAGGATCCGTGATCCATAAAAAATCATACCCATATTCGTTGACACATGGCTTAACCCCCCCTTCCCGTATTCCTTAGTGGTCGAAGGAATGCATCTTATTTTCTTTGCTTCTGCTACGGTCGGAGATGGATGTGGAAGAGAGAGGCATCACCCATTCCGAATACCCCCCAGCTTGTTCTGTGTTGAATAACACAAACCAAAAAACACCAAAACAAAACCGACAAAATATATGTATATATATAGAACAACAAAACAATATATCTACAGGTGGGGGGAAAAGTTGCATGGCATGGGAGTGAGATCTCGAGGCTGGGTTCCTGGTCGACGGCCACAAGGGCGTCGGCAAGAGCCAGGCCAAGGCCTGAGAGGCGAGAAGCGGCTCCGAGGTCCCGCTTGAGGCTGGGTTCACAATGGGTTTGGTAACGACCCCATGTTGCTGGGAAGCGAAACAGCCTTTTTTCTTCTTCTTTTCTTGTGGGTATTTTTTTGGTTATTTGTGGGGGGGGGGGGAAGCACCGTTTGCGTGGTGATGTTCGGGAAGTAAGCAACGTCTGCGTTGCCTTTCTTGGGGATCTTTTTTGCGTTAAGTGAGACAAAACTCAGAGAGTTGGAGAGAACTGAAGGGCTGATGACTTGGAATGACCCCGACCGTTTTTTTGGCTCTGGGGCTGATGGCTTGGGGGATTTGGGAGAATCGGTTGGGTTGAGCGGGTGAAACACCATCCCTCCCAAAAGAGGGTGACCACATCTTGGGACCGCGCTCGATGGTCCTCCTCTCGATGTCCAGTTTTTCCCCCCACGGTTGCCGTTTTGGGTTTTGAAGGGAAATCAACGGGGGTTGTTGGCTGGTTCCCTTTGGAAAACCAGGGCAAACAGCGCAGAAAACGGACCGAGTGGGGAAGTGGAGCTTTAGCTGGCTCTTCAGCCCACGACTCCCCCCCCCAAATATAGAGACCATCTCGAAGGGGGCTCTTCCATTCTCGGGGCTTGGGGAAACTCCACCAGCCCAGTGCAGTGAATGAGACCATCCCCCCGGATAGAGCTTCCACTTTGATGTGGGTTGATCACTACATGCGTCCTCGCAAGGGCTTGGGTTAAGTTGGGGTTGGGGCAAGCTAAGTGAGCAACCCCGAACCTGACCACCGTTCGTGGAGTAACCCATGTTGCCATCTTGTTGGTTGATGTGTTTCTTGGGCATGCTTCTATTGTCAGGCATCCCTTAGTTGGTGGCTTGAATTGGTAGTTCGGGGATTTGAACCCCTGGTTCTCGTCGAGGGTACGTTCGGGAAGCTTCCAGAACTGGACGTGGCTTGTTCGGACTGCACCGATCCCAAAAGTATGGTTGACCTCGGATGAATTTAGCTCTTTTAACGGGGGGTGTTGCCTTCAAAAGTGGTCACCCCCACCAAAAGCCCCCATTTCTGAAAATCAACAAGGGCTTCTACTTAGTTCCGGGGTTTCCATTAGGTCTCGCTGTTTTTTTTAAATATCCGGATATGGATGAGTGCGGGGTTCCTGGATGCAGGTCCCCAAACCAAACGAACACCACTCTGCAGCCTCCGCGGAGAGTTACTGAAAAGACGAATGGTACCAAATGCTTGGGGAGGATGAAGTTTTATTTGCCTTTGCGATTTTGCTTCCAAAACGCGGTTGCCTCGAAAATATGGGTGTGAGTTCTTTTTTCAGGCACCTCCCAAAATGGTGGTTTTCCTTTTGGTTTCCCTTCAAAACCGCCTCTGAAAGGTGTGCCAGCAAAAAAAGACACAAAGCGGGTAAGTCCAGCTGTCGGTCACAGAAATGCAGAGGACTCCACAACTGGACTGAGAAGCGTGAGTCCAGCTGGGACTCAACCTCGTCCAGGGAATCAAAGTGGAGGGTTTGTTGTTTTATTGCACCCTCTTTTTGGGGTGCTTTCTGAATAGTCCAGGGTCTGTCCTTTGTTGATACCTTGTTGGGGTGCTTTCTGAATGGGAAGCCAGTGACACCCGAAGCCTAGTTATCGTAGGGGTTCCCTCCAAGGTACCATCACCGGGCAAGGATTCGGACGTCACGTTTCGGGAGGTTTGGGACGACACTGAAGGTTTCTTGCGATTTGCCGCGACCCATGTTTCTCAAGCTTCGTAGAATTCCAGGTTGTCAGTCCTTTTGGGTTTCCCTTGAACCGACGCACGCGCACCCATTTGCGTGTCAGAGTATCTTTCATTTTCACGTGCTTCGAATCTATCACATATGGTTTTATTTTTCCAGGGGCTGCCTTCGCCAATGGAGGACACGTGTTTTTTGCTTCACCTGACTTCAGCCTATTGGTTTGGGCTGTGAAGCCATTCTGGTACATGGGGAACCTGATCTGCCAATCCAAACCACCGGGCTCCAACCCACACGAGGGAAGCTGATGACTTGTTGGGGCTACCTTCGCTACGGAGCTCTCTTGGTGGCTGAGGTGTTGAACCTGGTGGCCATGTGGGCTCGCAAGAACGGCCAGCGCTGGCTTGTTACCTGGTGGGGCGAGAAAAGGATTGGTCGTTTGACATCGAGTTTTCAACTGGTTTGGCAGCGGGCACAAGACGCAAGCGGGTCGACAAGAGCCGGGGGACTGTCGGACCCTGGCAAAACGACCCAAGTGGCAGTTGCGGGCCCACGGAAAAGGACGAAAACTCTCCGCAAGAATTCCTGGTTGCAAAAGGCCTGGAGATCCAGGCGCCGCTTCAAAAGGAGGAAACATGGATTTACAGGTAAGTTTCGACAGGTCTCGGCATGTTTTTGTTTTGTTTGTTTGTTGTCTTTTTGGTTTTGTTCATGTTTAGTCGGGGGCTGCAAAAAGTAAAGCTTTTTACAACCATACCAAGGTTTGTGAAGAAGTCTCGGAGCCAAGGTCCCTTTGTAGCGGTTGAATGCAGTCCCCCCCCCCCCGCGCGGTCCACGTGAATTTGCAAAGACTTGGGCACTTGGCACACTCCTCAAAGGAGAAAGACAAGTTGCACGGCATCCTTAATTGAAAGGGGTCTATTTTTGATCAATAAGTGGGAATGAATACCGTTTTATATGCTATTGAATATGGACGTTGGGCGAAAGACGCTTTTTGTTGGTGCACATTCCTTTCGGGGAACCAAACATGATAGTGTTGAAACATACCTGGATCGCCAGTTGCTGCTTTCTTCCAGGGTAAAAGTGTCTGGAAAGAATCGATCGCACCTTGGCTATCCAGCTATCCAGGTTGATACCCGTGGTAGCTTCAATGTTTGCCCGCCCTTTCCTCCGGCGCTGAGATCCCGAACCGCATTTGCGCGAGCGTTGCTGGTGCGTGCCAGGCTGGCTGGTGGTGTTAGAGCCCACCCCCGGCAGATATGCCCGGGAGATTGCCGACATCAAGCGCTCCAACAACGGGGCACCTCGGCAACGGGTAGACCAGAATTTGTTTGTTTGCCCCTTTGGAATGAATGAAGTTGTTTCAGGAAGCTCACTTCAGGTATGCGACTGTTTGCCGGATCTCAATGGTTTTTCTTCCTTGAAGACTTGAAGGTGGTTGATCCTTTGTGTTCAATCAGTCCTGAGCTTGTTTTGCAAGTCAGAGCAGCAATGGTTTGGCGGCATCGGCCACCCAAGCATGAGGATGTCCTGTCGACCTTTCATCAGGTAACCATTAATTCGTGCTTGGGATTGGTGGTTTGGATTTGGATTTGAACGCCTGGTTCTTGTAGAGTGCAAATGAGTAACTCAACCACCAAATCACTGTGATGAATTTGGGGTTCGCATGATCCAAGATGCAGCATTGAATCGTTGGATGTAATCTCGGGATTCGAAGTGAAGCCATGCACGGGTGCGCCAAACATGAACATAGATCTGCGCATCCAATTCTCGGCCAGATTTACATCCAGAGCGAGTTTGCCCAGCAATTCCTGGAGGCAGGCGAAACACCCATTGCGCGAGCTTGGCTGGGATTGTTTTGTTTTGCCTGGTCTGACTCAGTTCGCTTTTGTCTTGGCGACTTGCCGACTCCATCGCAGCTCGATTCTCCCGAGAGCGTTTCTGCTTGAGAAGAGGAATCGATTGCATGACTGGGAACGTTTAGTTCAAGAAGCAGAAGGTGGTTGCAACATCGCTGAGCATCCACCACGGGAAGGGGGGGAGGGGGTGAGCTTGTCCTTCTTCCAATGTTGATAATGTAATTACAACTTCCCGCGGCGTTTTTGTGACGGCCATGTTGGCCGGTGCTTTTGCACGCTCATGTCGCCAAGTGCGCGTGCCTCGGCTTCTAGTACCCCGTGTACCCCGTGGCTTCGCGACGAACGCTTTCACGGTGCCAAGCCGAGATTCGACGCCAGAGCAGACCTTGTTCGTGGTTGGGCTCAACGAGGGCAAGTTCTTTGGCCAGGACAGCGCTGAGGAAGCGCTGAAGTTGGTGGAGCGAATTGCCCAGCACAATTCTGAGTATACGCTGCTGCTGGGGGTGCCTGAGCGGAGGCTCGCCGAGATGGAAGAGTTCCACAAGGTGGGTATGTGTGTGTGTGTGTGTGTGTTTTTGGGGGGGGATACCCCTTTTTGGGTGGGGTTCAAAGCGAAACCAACAGGGAATCACATTTTTTGGGGGTCCTAAGAAAAGACACACACACACACACAGCATGGATCTCGATTTCCTTCTTGGTTTCCCTGAAAAGCCTTAACCTGTTTTTGGCCACTGGTTTGTTTCTTTCAAAGGAACGAAAATCAGAACTCCACGGGGGGTTGCCCTTGCCGTTTCCCCAGGTGAAGCAGCAACGGCTGACCCCCAGCCGTGAGTTGGAGGGCAGCTTGCACTGCGAGATGATCCCCATCATGCAGGCGGGCATGGTGGACAAGCGCCCGAGGAAGGCCGTGGGGCGCTCGGTTTACACCGACCAGACCCACGTGGCCTACATGTTGTGGAAGCAGCCGCGAGAAGCCGTGCGGGTGTACTGGGCCTTCTGGCGAAGAAAGCAGTACAAGGATCTGGAGGCCCGGAAGTTTTGGTCCAAATACTTTCCGGTGGCGTCTCGTTGCTACTTCGAGGAGCGCGCGCAGATCATAGCCATTCGCGCCACTGAGCATGTCATGGCACTGCGCAAGCAGAACTCTGGCACCTTGGCACAGAGGCCAGCCGGTTCCTGAGCGTTTTAGGTCTTTTTAGTTGGTTTAGTAGTTGGATTTTCATTCAACCCACTAAAAGTTAAACTTTTAGCTGGGGATCTGGAAGCAGCCCAGGCCAATCAACTGTTCTAGTGGTGAATAATGACATCTACGACTTGGTGATTCAGCAGCTCAGCGATTATTTGGGGAAGGATGCTCCAGAGAAGTTCAATTCTCAGGAGTTTCAAAGGAATCTGCGGGACATCGCAGGTGATTTGTGCCAGGACGTGATCGACTTGACGCCGGTGCTGGTATTTCTCTACTTCTCCCTGCCGCTGCTGATCTTCCAATTCTTCTTCAACGCAGGTCAGTACTACCTGCAACGGTCTGGCGCGATGGAGCAGATGCTACGTGGAGACGAGCTGAAGAGGGAATGAGCTGAGATGATTCTCAGAAATATACCATTCAATGCAGGTGCCGTGTGCAACAAAAAGACAGGTGTGTGTGTGTGTGTGTGTGCGTTTTCCTTGATCAGGCGCAGGGGAAAACACTTCTGCATCGAACCCACGGTCACTTCGATCACCAATCTACAGTTGATATGCTCACTGCCTGAGTTCCGTGTTGGACTTTAATCAGTTTTTTGGAACCATTTTAGTGGTATAAGTACCCCCCCCTTAAAGGAAAGGTTGACCCAAATTGGATGATGCCAATCCTTACGCAAACAATGGCGGTTGTGTAGACCCCCATTGCTTGTCCGGTGGCTTCAACCCCAGGTTGAAAAGGTTCAGTCATTTTAGCCAATCCACAGAAGTGAGTATGGGTAAGTTGGATTTTTGGCAAGAAACACCACGTGGGGCAGATCTGAAAACTCGATGCGCTTTAGGCGCGACCGAAGACGGCAAGGGGCTTATGGCAAGCATTTCTCTGGACCTCTTGGGTGACATCTCTGTGTTTTTCATCGGTGAAAACGTGTTTGGTGGTTTGGACTTTGGGGTTGCCCCATTTGGTTTCAAAAGCAGCTGGGGTTCAAATACCAATCCAAGCCGCCTACTCTCAGGTAACCCCTTGCTTGGTTTTTCAAGCGAGACGTTGGGTTTTCAAGCAACCAGACGCAGAAAGCGAGACTCGGAGAGACGCCAGGCCATGTCCCTGGCGAATCGCCAGCTGCTGCAGGCATGCCAAACTTTTCGTTGGACAGGGGGTTGGGTTTGCCCGGTGATTCCATTTCCCGGTACGGAACCAAGGCCTTGCCAGGCTTTCAAAACCGAAAGGGACATGGCTGGTTACCTGCTATATAGGTAACTGGGATCCAGTGGGTTACTTCTGATTCCCTCAGTAGTGGTTGCGTATGTTGTGCGCGCAAGAAAATGCAGCACGGCAGTCAACCTTTAAAGGGGGAGTCAACCTCTGTAAATCTGGCCATGTGATGCAAGACCTTTTTTGAAACGCCCACCGAAACTGACGGCGAAACCCGCTTGGGGAGCATAGGAATGGCCGGGGATTGGTTGGAAGCTTCACTCCCGAAACTAATTTGGAGTGGTCCCTGCGTTGTGGTCAATGGTACCCCTCAGTTCCCCATCCCCTTCAACACGCAATTCGAGGGGGGTGACGCCTGGAGTTCTATTCGTGGCTCCGTTTTCCCTTTCCTGCGGAACGATAGGGAAGGAATTGGGGCCCCACCCTGCACCTCAAGGTAGGGGGTATCCCCTCAGTTCTAGTAATGGAAAGTATGGATGCACGGCTCGCTTTGCTTCACCTTCCGAGTGGAGTTTCTCTGGCCGAGACGCTCTGACAGATAGAAAGCTTGAAGGGACACCAGCTCCAGCTGCTGCTCGCAGGGCCCGTGAATTTGGAGGCGCAGGTCCAGAAATTGCCACTGTCCCCCTTCTCCTTCTTTCGGATTGATTTCTGCCCTCCACAGAAACGTCTACGGCTCGAAACAACAGGGTCCTTCAACTCTCCCCGTTTGAGTTGATGGAGCCTCCCCCTTTCGTGCGGGGATGTGTCAAGGCCATGTAGAAGGAATCTGTGATTGGGCATCTCTTTTGGTGGGTGCCCGCTTCTAAACCAAAGGGAACCCACAAAAACAAATCGGGGGTGTCTGATTTTGAGGGCTTGTTTCGGTGGTCTTAAAGCAACAACCAAGGCTTGCTTCGGTGGTTTCACAGGAACACCCAAAGAAAAGTCACCGTTTTGGAGTTTTGTGGACCCCTAAGAAAGCCGAGCCACGCCATGTTGGTTCCTCGGTCCCGCGCCCTTTTCAGGAGATCCCCGTGGATCTCAGTAGCTACGGCTCCAGCGCCATCGACGGAGAATCCACGCAGGCGAGAGTCGCTCCATGTTTTTTGGTCTTCCTTGTGGCTTCCTTTTAATACCACAAACAAAAAGGTACCCTCTCAAAAAAGAAGATACACACATGTTCCACTCACATGGAGTGCGATTTTCCACTAGACCCGACATGTCTTTTGCACCAGAATGAGAATGTGGGGGCCCGATTCATGTCCAGCACTTTTCAGGTTCCAACTCATAAAACAAACCACGGCATCAAGCGCAGGGTTTCCCTTTTCGGTGCTCCAAAGAAGATGGGACTTAGGGGTTCCTCGTTTTGGGCTTTTTCAGCCACGCTCAAATCTACTTCAGACTTCACCGTTCTTGGCACGTTTTTCTTTTTTCGCTTTGTTCATTTTGTTTGGCGTGTTGTTTTTTTTTGTTTTTTTTGGGGGGGGGGTTGGGACTTATTTTTTCTTTTGCCGCGGCTGTTGGCAGACGGCATTCAGCGCTGGCCCGCAGCTCATGCGCCGCGCCGTCGCGCCTCCCCTATGACCACGTCGCCTTTTTATCTGTTTGGTTTGATGAGGCCCCAGCCCCCGGCCAAACTCCAAACAAACAGCAGTACAAGCCAAGTCAAAGACACACAAACAACAAACAAAAGCAAGCACACATGACCACCACAGCAGAACAAGAAACAACAGCCCGACCATACAAGCTTCACGTTGTCCTACCCAGCCCAACCCTAATCACCCCACCCAAAGAGAGCAAACCTTCCCAAGCCCCCCACTCATTCTCACCCCACATCCGCCCTACTGCCCCCAGCCCACCACTCCCACCTCACCCTCACTCACCTGGCTGGCGCGATAGGTAGGGAATGAGAATGAGCCCAGTCTTTGGTCCCCTTAAAGGAAACCACCAGGGCGATGCTTTATAATCGGGTCATGCCAACTTCCTTATGGTTTCCTTGCAAGGGTTTCTATTCCTTTGTGTCTTTTTAGGAAATCCCTGGGTTCTTTCCCCAGTTGCCCAGTGGTGCCCTCTCCCTTTAAAGTCCACCAACCCAAAAAGGATTGGCCGCTGAGCTTCCCATTCCCTGCATCTCGTGCAGCGAGTCACCCGCAGCCCGCTCTCGTCCCATGGAGCTGCCGCTGGGCCTGCGGCGCCCGGTGGTGGCCATGGCGCCCATGGTCACACAGAGTGCCTCGGCTTCGCGCTTCGCTTGGCCGGGTTGATACGTTGATGGGTCGATTTGAGGGAAGTCCACGTGTCACGTTTTTTACTTTTTTGGTCCTGTCTATGTTTTTTGAGTTCGGGGGCAGTAACGAACTTTTTTTTTGCAAGCCCATACCACATGTTGTGGAGTTCGGTTGGATACGGCTTAGAAAGCGCGCCGGTGTTCTCTGTTTGGTTAGGGTCAGGTAGGTGCGAGCGTCAATTTCAAATCTGAATGGTTTGACAAGTGCCCACAAAAGGAAAAAGCAGGTGTCAAGTCCAAGCATGAACCCTTTTGGGGCAACATGGGTGTGATTTGTTATTCGGGACCCGTTGGTTGGTGGACATCTGAATTGGGAACAAAAACCAAGGAACACCACCTATGTTAGGCTTATTTCCGGTTGGTGATTTTGGGTTGAAGTCACTCCGTTTGGGGTCCAGGGTGCCATGTGAGTCATCAACACCTGGGTAGATGAAGGCTGCAGTCTCCGCCCTTTTGAGTCTTTACATGGGTTTGGGTCGACCCTTTCCTCATGTCAGGTGCCAGGATCCGTTGAGAAACCTCGGGCTCCCCATATTTTGCCCTTGTTGGTGGCAGGTTTCTTTCAAGCCACAGGAAAGTCTTCCTGTTGCTCTAGTTTTGGGAATGAACCTAGGGGTTCTATATAATGGAAACCACCAGGGGGATGGTTAGGGCCAATAAGAATGACATGGGGTCCTGAAATATTTCTCGAGGGCGGCGCCATGTTGGGTTGCTCGGCTTGTCCGGGGGGTTGGGTCGTCTTGGATGTTCCATTTTTTCCGGACACCCCCTTTTGGTTCGTTTTGAGGGGACATGTTTTGGTTTCCCCCTAATCTTTAACGTTCTTGGATACGTCCTTTTGGTTTTCAGAGTTCTGTGCCCCTTTCGGCAGTGTCATGCTTTTGGTGGTTCCGAATCTGCTGCTGGTAGTTTTGGTTTCCCTCCTTCGGTAGTTCTATTTCCCCCTTTTAGTGGTCCTTCTTCCGTTTTGTGGTGGTCCTACTTCCCTTTTGTTGGTTTGTTTCTCGGCTCTTGGCAGTTCTGTTTCCCAGTTTGGTGGTGTCTTGCTTTCCCCTCTGGCGGACGTTCCCTTTTTCGCTGGTTCCGTGTCACACGGCTTCCTTCTTTGCCGGTTTTACTTTCCCTTCTGCTGGTTCTGCTTCCCCTTTTGTTGGTTCCGGTTCCCCTTTGGTCGGTTCCGGTTCCCCTGGTGCTGGCTTTGGTGGTTTTGTGTTGCTGGGTGGCTTTGGGTTTCCCGTTTGATCGCTTTTCACAGCAGAATCCGCATGCCACCTGCGCAGGCAGCTTGGGCAAGCATGCGGGTCATGCCTTCAGTAGCACAGAATCTGCAAGATGGGTGTGTCTTGTTTTCGGGGACCCCCAAAAAACCGAAAATATGGTTCCCTTTTGGTCTCCCTTCAAAGAATAACATGCCCACGCGTCTTTGTTTGGTTGGTTTGGAGGTCTGATCTACTCCCCAGGAGCCATGTTGGCCAGGACGAACTCTGCAAATCAACATGGAACCCCAAGTTTTCATGGTGGTCACATTGGAGATTCCTCCAATGATGGTTTCCCATGTTAGTCTGCATGGGAGTAAAATCATCAAAACACAATAATGCTGGTTTTCCCGGTTCCGTGTTTCTACCAAAGAAGAGTGGCCTTTCTCAATCCATGGCCTTCTTGTTCAAAGGTGTCTCACCTGAATACTCAGGCTACCCTTGGTTGGTGGTTTCTCATGCACCCAGAAGATCAGATCCAATCCAAACCGCCAATCAAGGGTTGCCTGAGAGTGTCTCACCTTTGCCCACGACTTTTCTGGGACCCTTGCAGGGCAAATGGGAAACCACCAGAAGACAACCAAGCCGCCGATTTGGCTCCAAACTTCCCTAGAAGGAAAAACAAGTTGACCTGCCGGGGCATTGTACTTCGCTTCGCAAGTGGCCAAAACCCCATGGTTACTCACAATGGCCGCGGTTACACGTCTCCCTTTGGCTCATTTCATCCATTTCCACCTTTTTACCTTTAATATTTTCTTCTTTTGTGTTAAATCCATTTATAGAAGAATCAACCCGGCTTACTACCTCACCACCCGACGTACCCGACGTCCCCGATCGCCTCGATCGCCTCTCCTCGATGGCCTTGATGGCCTCGATCGCCTGAGCCTTCGGAAGGCGACCGCCCCTTCCGGCGTTTGGTGCGCGCCCACGGCTGCACGCTGTGCTACACCGAGATGCTGCTGGCCGAGCGCTTCGCGCGCTGCGAGGAGCGGGAAACGGAGCGACCGGGAAAAGCCCCTGAAGTATTGGCATCGTCTTTTTGTAGGGCACCCGTTGCCCCGTTTTTTCTTTTTTTGTTTCTTCTTTTTTCTCCCCTTTTTAAAATATCATTTGTTTGGGGTTTTGCTTTGGAGGGAAACCAAGCAACAGCCCAAGCGTTTTGAAGGGTTGCTCTATTTCAGACCCTGTTCAAATCTGGGTGTCGAAAACCTGGGGGGACCCTTCGAAATGGGTTTCCAGTTGGATTCCCTTTATACCGAGCCCCAAAACGGGATATCCTGAAGAAATGCCAGACCCACATGTCAAGCAGCCACACATGTGCAAACCACCAACATGAATTTAAGCGACCGATGTGAAAACCACCAAGGTTACGAGATCCTTGCTTAGGCAATCTCTTTTGGGCTTCCTTTTCAAGGAGACGGTTGCTTGGCCATGGTCAACGGACCTATCTACTTGTGGCTGGGGATGGCGTCATGGTCATCAACTGTTTTGGGACCTGTTTCGTTCTGTGGGGCCCCTCCATCGCTTTTGCTGGGCCACAGCCACGCGGGCAAATCTCTGTCAGACTCCAGGACAGACATGCGCAGTCACTGGATTTTCCCTTAACTTGCAATTTGCTGGTGCCTTCCACTAAACAAATCCCACTTTTGGAGGTATCAGAAAGGGACATGGAAGAATCCCTGACTTGGTGGCATGTTGTTTTTTTGCAGCCGCAAGGATCCTATCAAAGGAGCCATGACCGTTGACCGCCTGTTATTATTTCAAACTTGTGTTCTTCGACCTCGGCTGGACAGATTCCTAATTGGATGCAACCATTTTCGCACATTGGATCAACCGAATGAGATTGCAATGGGACTTCCCTCACTGCATCTTTTGGGTTCTCTGGCCCATTGCAACATGAGGTGCTGCCTGGCAGGTTCGGCTCCCCTGAGCCAGTCCTTTTCCTGCTTTTCCGTTTGAAACACACACACACACACACACACACACACCTGCAGCGCCTGCTTTGCCTGCAAACAGTTTGCAGGAGTACCGCAGAAATGCCTTGGGCGACGGGGCGGGTGTCTCAGCCAAGAGGAGCCTGGCATTTTCTTGGGGTTTCAACATGATCGAGAACGCCTCCCAAGACTGGCAGCTGAAATCAGAACCCCCTAGTTGGTGGATTTGAACCCGTGGTATAGAAGGCATACATGAGAAACCACACCCCAACCTCTAGAACACCTATCCAAACCACCAACTCGAGGGAAGCTGATACCAAATAGGAACATGGACCAGTGACCCATTGTTTGGTTCATATCCTTGGGATCCCCTTGTGAAGTGAGCAACCCTGGTCAACCCCTTTCGTTCAATTTAAGAAAGCCAACAGGAAACTCACCGGGCAAAGGACATTGTGATTGCTGATGGGAATCGTAAGGTCATGGTCATGCAGATCTAGTTGAGTCTAGCTGAGCTTCTTGGGTGTGTCTTGCATCAGACAACCCCCCCCTTAAGAAAAAATGGTGGTAGTCCTTTTGGGTCCCCTGTAAAATGTGCAAAAAGGGGCATTCTTAGAAAAGACACACCTTCTCCTTCAGGGATCACCCGACATGAGAATGAAAACTGAGGCTGATTGTGTTTCGCGCTTGCCTTGTTCTTCAACACTTGCGTGTCTTGCAGACGGATGCGAGTGCGCGCACGATGACCAACACATCAGTGCACACACGTCAATACACGTGCCCAACTGCACACTCTCCACACCTCGTGCATGCTGTCCGAGCTGCAACAACTCGGTCTGGTTCGCGCTCCCCGCTCTGTGCGACAGTGAGTAAGATGGGAGGACAAGCGCTGACCGCAATTTAATGAATGCACTGCACAGTCTCAACTGCACATGTCCTGCCCAAGATGCGGTTACACATGCCCGCGATGCATACTCTTTACAATGAGCGCACACCACACAATATTTCAACTTGGCAAACGGAAAGTGAAGAAAACTCCAAGAGGCGTGGCAGTCGAGCTGTTTCGAATCCTTTGCGGCACCCGCCTAAATCAAAGTGGGACTGCCTTTGACGCCAAGACGCGATGTCCTTGAAAGTTTGTGTTGATTGGAGCTGGAATGTTTGCGGGTACAAAAAGCATCGTGTGGGGCAAAGTTTTTCAGCCGTGACAACACCTTGTTTTCTGCTTTGGTCCCGGTCGATCTTTGACTCGTTCGGGGCTTGCATGTCCCTTCTATTCATGTGGCAGTAAATTTCGTGTGAGATTTCTTTTGTCACACCTGGAAGTTGTCGCTTCTTTGTCGCAACTGTTTTGGGCGGCCCAGACTCGTCATTTTCGTGCAGATCCGCAAAAACAAGTTTCCGGCGACTTCCCTTGAGGAAATCCTGTTGAATCACCCTGGGGACAGATATGAAGCACCTCCGAAAACAGCCTTCCACAGGTGGCCGAAGATGACCATCCTTTGGTGGTGCAGTTTGCAGCCAACGACCCTGCCCTGTTGCTGGAGGCTGCGCGTTGGGCGCAGGCGTGGGCCGAAAAGGTGGCAAAAATGCTTGAGCACGCTCTTTGGGCTGACTGAAGTACTCCCCCTACAAAAAGGGGGTGCCCCAAGAGGAGATTCTTCTTGGGTAGTGGGTGTTTGTTTGCATTCCATGTTAATCTGCAGGACAGCAACCATTGTTTTTTTGGGGGGAAATGGGGGTTGATTAATATTACTGGCCCCAAATGTCCGCGGGTGACTTTTGTCACGGTGTGAAAGTAGTATCTTTTTTTGTGGTTTCCAACCAATGGTCATCCCATGTTTGCTGCACGTTTTGATAAACCCCCAAATGTGTGTTTGAAAGTTTTCTCCATTGGCAAACCGAAGACTTTTTGTAAGGGAGCGCTCACCTTCGGGTACGGATGGAGTGTTTGTTTCATTGTTGAACATGGGCACCTAATATACTTGTGCATTATTTTTGAGGCTACTCTTTCACCCTGGTTGAAAGGTAAAAGGACAGCTTCCACTTTTGGCATGCTGGGCAGACGTGGTCCGGGTTGGGGTGTGTGGGGGGTGGGGTGGGGTTGGGGAACGGAGATGCTCCCTGTCCGTAAGACCAAAGGAATGTTCCACAGTTGAAACCTGGTGATCTGTGGCAGTGTTGGTTGGTAAGTTTTGGCCTTCTGGGTCAATTGTTCTGCATTTCTTGCTGGAGGCAGCCTCGCGCTTGGAAATTAGCTGTGCCCCGCCACTCGGCATGCTGCACTCCCTCTACGCCCCGGCATGCGCTTGCATATCACTTGTGGCCCTGGTATCCACTGCATTTTCTGCGTCCCTGCATCTTCGGATCCACTGCATCCCCTGCATACTATGCATCACAAGCATGTCGTGCATCCACTGCATCGCGGCCGACCTGTTGCCAGTAACATGGCCCTCCCGCATCCCAGTAAACCCTGGGAGTGGTCCACCCTCAGGCCTACATCAAGCCAATAGCTTCACCATCCCCTTTACCCGAAATTGGGTGAACCCCATCAGCCCCATAGTTTAACCATCCCCTTTACTCGCACACTTACGGGGAATTCCATGAACCCCCGGGAGTGGTGTTGCGTGGCCTGGACGTCTCCATCGCTCTCTTCGTTCAGCACCTGGGCGCGGATGCCATCGACCTGAATCTGGGCTGTCCGCAATGGCTCCCTGGCGTGATCGGCGTCGGCGTCCCGAGCACTGGGCGTGGGGTTGTTCCTTTTTGAAGACACCGTTCATTTTCAAACATGGCGTTGGGATCAAGTCGTTTACTTTTGGCCGTTTTCTATTATTTAGCAGGAGGTTAACGTTGGAGGTTAGGGTTAGAGGTTAGGGTTAGAGGCTAGGGTTAGAGGTTAGGGATAGAGGTTAGGGTTAGAGGTTAGGGTAAGAGGTTAGGGTTAGGGGTCAGAGTTAGAGGTTAGGCGTGTCAAAATCCGCCGCGGGACCCCCCCTCCCCCCCTCAGACTTTTGCAAAGGGGTCGGCGGATTTGGTTGGTTGTTCGAAAATTGGTGGGTCAGAATGTTTCCGTGTCTTCTGTCTTGTCATTATTCTGTGAACTGAGTGGGTCTCCTTGTTTTTTGTGAATCTTTGCACATTGTTTTCCGCCTGGAGGGGCCTGTGTGGGGGTTACCCGGATAACTTGCCAGTGCTCAGGGAATGATTTACACCATCCCTCTGGTGCCGGAATCCCCAAACGGTTCATTCCCAAACGCTGGGTCTTTCCCTACCCATCGCACCAGCAAGATAAGCCAGAGACCAACCCTTAAGACCTTCTCCTGAACATGGCATCTCCCAAAAACGGTTCGAATCTCCAAAAATGGCTTCGGTGTTCCTTTGGTTTTCCCAACAAACCATTCAAGGGGTACCTTTCTGCGGGCACCTTTCGCCTCAAAAGAGGTACGGTGGGACCCCTGCGGAGAAAAACACCTCAGGGCAGCCGCTTGCTCAAAACCGGAACGGGTAGATGAAGGTTAGGGAGAACGCCCCTTGACCCATACATGGGTGCGGATATCCGCCTTTTTTTACTTTGTGAAGCATGATTCTGGGACTTTTTTCTATTGCCAGGCTTTCATTGTGGGCTCAGGGAGTTCATTCTTCGTGCCACTTGGGGTGTTGCGAACATGGACCCTGAGTTTTCTTAAAGAAATATTTTTCTCCAGAATGGCTGGTACAGATGCCGCGTGCTGGCTGTGGCTCAAAGAAATCTGCCAACACGGCGCCATGGTAAATGGAAACAAAGACTACCACCAGCGTTTTGTCCCAAGGCTCTTTTGTTTTGAGCCACGCCCATGCGAATGTGAGGGTAGTGCTTTGCATTTGCGGCGATGGCCAAGGAAAGCCAAAACGGGCCAGCGTCTCAGAGTGCCCTTTCCGACATGGGAGTTGCTCAAAGGGATGGACTCCCTTTTGGTGAGTAGTTCAAGGGGAACCAACAAGGAACCAAAAGGAAGCCAACAGGAAGCCAAGCATTTTAGGGGAGCCCTCTGTTTGAGCAATCCCAAATGACGGAAGTGGACAGGGAGTCTGTTTTGAACTGATGGGCTTCTTCCAAAACCTTCTTAATTGCACTCCAATGGTTGAAAAGCGGCTTGAGATGTCGCCCGTGCACCGAGTCATGTTGGGTCAACTTTCTTGGAGCCCGTCATCGACCGAGTCCTTTTCACAGCTCAGATGTGGCCACTCAGATGTTGGCAATCTGGCTGGCCGTGTGTCTCTGAATTTCGCGGAATGGGCTTCATTTGGGTGTGTGTCAAAAAATATGGACGCCCACGAACAGGATGCCAGCGAAAGATGCGTACCTTTGCCAAATGACCCAGTCGCAGTGCTGATCCTCGCTCCAACACTCTTGAAACCAACCTGAAAAGGTATCCTAAGCACACACACACACACCCATTTCAGCAGCAAGGCAACTACGGTGCTTGGTTGGCCGCCGACGAAACCAACTGGCCCTTGATTGAGGCAAGCGGAAGGCGGTTGAAGGGCCTTTGGGCCTGTCCCAAGTGCAACACATCTCAAAAGTACTTGTGGGGGGAGTTGGTTTCCCCTTTAAACAACGAGCCATTTGGGTGGCTTGTCTTCATTCTTTGGTTGCCCCAACATGGCTTAGCGGCTTTCCTTTTGGTGTCCCCTTCAAACCACGAAAAAAGGGGGTGCCAACTCCAAACAGACGAGCCGCCCATTTTGAGGGTCGTGTGAGGAAATGAAGGGTCCCGTTTCGATTTGGAGGCCCGAAGCAGAGCTCGAGGCCTGTTTGGCGAAATTTAATGCTTGGAAATCAGGGTGGTTCTACTACCTGGTTTTGTACAGGTTATAGCAAGGCCGAAATCCAAATCCTAAGGAAAAGCCAGACCCATATAAATCTCAACCTTGGTACCATTTGATAGTTGCTGCTCAAGTGGTAGGTGGACTAATTCATCCCCAAAATGTTCAGTTCAAGCGAAGGATTGGGATTTCCTCTTTCGTTTGCATTCCACTGGCATGTGTTTCATTCGCTGGAAATTGCCCGATAGCACTGCGATCCTTTTAACGGTGAGGTTTCCCTTTAGTTCACCTTGTGAGGTGCCCTTGTCCAGGCAGTTCCAACTCAGTGCCACCAAGGCCTGCTGCTCTTTTTCCTTGAAGCCCATGAGGGTTGGGGGGTTCCATTTGAACATATTCAACGCAGTATGTTGAATCAAGGATCTTCTTTCCTTGAGAGAACAACAACACCCATTTCAAGATCAACCAGCCAGAAGGGTGCCTTTCCCATTTTTATACCGATCGGTTTGGGCTGACTCATCTGTCACATCCCGTGTTTTTTTTTCCAGCCCGGGCTCCCGGCGTAACCCCAGCTAGGGGGCTGGTTGGTTGGTTGGTTGGTTGGTTGGTTGGTTGGTTGGTTGGTTGGGTGGTTGGGTGGTTGGGTGGTTGGGTGGTTGGGTGGTTGGGTGGTTGGGTGGTTGGGTGGTTGGGTGGTTGGGTGGTTGGGTGGTTGGGTGGTTGGGTGGTTGGGTGGTTGGGTGGTTGGGTGGTTGGGAGGTTGGGTGGTTGGGTGGTTGGGTGGTTGGGTGGTTGGGTGGTTGGGTGGTTGGGTGGTTGGGTGGTTGGGTGGTTGGGTGGTTGGTTGGTTGGTTGGTTGGTTGGTTGGTTGGTTGGTTGGTTGGTTGGTTGGTTGGTTGGTTGGTTGGTTGGTTGGTTGGTTAAACAAACAACCTCAACCCTCATTTGGTGGGTCAAGCATAGGCTAGCCCCAAAATGGGTTGCCCTCCAATTCCTGCTGGTGGCTGACTTTGATCAGGGTTGTGGGATCACTCGGGGTTTATCCAACCACTTCTGTGATATCGGGAATCTCCCGAACCCTTGAGAGGGGGTGGGCTTTCCTTGTTGTTGTATCACAGATTCGTAGCTTCCGTTTCAAGCACCGCCCCGCTGTTGGACCCCACGCCCATCGTCCGTGGATTGGTTGGCCTGAGAGGCCATGGTGGAGATCTGCCATCGCTCCATTGAGATCCCCGTCTTCTGCAAGATCCGACTCCAGCCGACGGAGGCGAAGTCCGGGCGTTCCGCGTGTTCGGGGCGCTTTCGGGGCGCGTTCGTAGGTGTCCTTTTTGCCTGGAAACAGGTGGCCCTGGTAGATGAAGAAGCCAGGTAAACCCGGGCCATTTGTTGTCCAAGCCAACCAAACACCGGGAAAACCAAACCAATCAGGTACCCGATCCTGTGTCAAGTGATGAGTGTACGTACTGTATATACATATATAGATATATAGACTGTACGAAGGCAACCCATGGAGAGCGTTCTGTCTTGACTGCAGTATAAATTGCAACGCGCAAACTGCTGCAGTACCCTCAAGCATTAACAACATCTGCTGCCAAGGGGCATTTACGTGCTCACAGAAACGGCAACCGTTTCAGCACCGAAATCACAGGACTTCACTCGGATCAACAAGCAACCAAAAGCACCCACAGGTGTCCTTTTAGCCATTCTATGCCAGAGATAGGATGAGAAGTGCTACACTGCAGTAGCATGATCGTATATATATATATACATATGTACATATATATATATATATATGTACATTCATAAGTATACACATAAGACAGCAGACATGCATACAATAAATGTGTATGCCTTCATAGTATGTATATATATATAATTATGTAAACTGACATATATATATATATATAAAATATCTTACAAATCGGCCGAGCATCAGGGTGCCACGTTGGCTCTGGCGCTGCGCCTGCAGCGCGCGGGCTGCGCGCTGCTGGCCGTGCACGGCCGGCGTCTGGAGAGCGTCAAGGCGCGGCGCAGCGGCGCGGCGGCGCCTCGGAGCTCGGAGCTTGGAGCTCGGAGCCGGGGGCGAGAGGTCGGAGTGGGGGAGAGATTCATTTGGCTGTGGTTGTTAAAACCAATGGTAGCCATTTTGGGGTAGGTGAATTCACCACCCATTTTAGTCTATGGTGGGGATTAGGATGTTGGTAGCCATTTGGGGTAGGTGAATTCACCATCCATTTCGGTCTATAGTGGGGATTGGGGCGTTCGCTGCGGGTACGGGCTGTTTGACGCATGCCCATTTTGCTGATAGGGGCTGGGAGGGAGGGGAGGGGGAGGGAGGCTCATGAGAGTCACTTGCAAGGAGCAATGCTCGTGAGAGTCACTGGCGAGGAGCAATGCTCATGAGAGTTCTCACTCATGACAAGATTTAAATTCCTTTCTTCTCTTCTTAGGGTGGCGGGGTAGGGCCGACTGCACTCTACGAAAATCAACCCTCTGCGGAAATTCGTGTGGTCGAGGTCAAAAAACAGGACTTTTTACGATTTCTGCGGTGCGCAAGCAACCCTCTGCGGAGATTCGTGTGGTCGAGGTCAAAAAACTGAGGACTGTTTACGATTTCTGCGGTGCGCGAGCGACCCTCTGCGGAGATTCGTCTGGTCGAGGTCAAAAAACTGAGGACTTTTTACGATTTCGGCGGTGCGCGAGCGACCCTCTGCGGAGATTCGTGTGGTCGAGGTCAAAAAACTGAGGTTTTTTTTGTTGCGATTTTAACCTTCCAGGATGAGCCCTCTGCGGGGATCGGCGTGGTCGATGTGCAAAAACTGAGGGTTTTTCCGATTCTGAAAATGCTCGCGCGACCCTCTGCGAGGATCGTGCGTGTCGAAGCGCTCTCGCTGTGGCGCCGTGCAAATTTCTTGCTTGCGAAGTGGTCTTTGGAGGTTGTCGCGTGGTTTGCGCGGCTGCTCTCGGAGTCGCGCGGTCGCGGGGTCGACCCCCGCCTGGTCCGCGAAGCTTTTCTAGACAGAAATCGCAACTTTTAAGTGCAAGGGTAGTACGCGGACGCAGCTCCGGCTGGAAAATCGCAACTTTTAAGTACAACTGTAGTGCGCGGACTACAGTCCTGCAGCTCCGGCTCCATAATGGAACTTTTCAATCAGAACACTAGTATGCGAAGTACTTCCCGAAAGCTCCGGCACACTTGCGCAGAGCAACTTGCACAGAGCGCTGCCGCTTGCGCAGAGCAACCTGCGCAAAGCAAATTGCACAGAGCGCTTGCACATAGCAGCTAGCGCAGGGCAACTTGGGCAGACCAAAAGTCAGGTGTTCCGTTGGGAGAATTATTATCATGAGAGTCATTGCACAGAGTCATCGTGATAGCCATTGCGTAGGGTCATCGCACAAGAGTCATTGAACGGAGTCATCACGAGAGTGATCGCACAGAGTCATTGCCCAGAATCATGATGAGAGTCGCAGAATCATCATGAGAGTCAATACACAGAGTCATCATGAGAGTCACTTGCGTTGTAGTCACTGTTTGCTCGAGGGCGGTATATGTGTCATCTTTGACGTGCTATGCAAACTCGTGTGAGGGGGGTCCGATAGGTGGCAAGATAGCAGGAACAAGGTTAGTTGCTGTGTGTTGCTCGTGACCACATCGAGCAAAAAACTTTGCGCGGGAATGATCTGTGATGCTTTCGGGCCAACCATGGTCTAGTTAAAACCGGCGGCTTCCCCTGGGTTTTTGAGCGCATTGGCTAAGGGGGACCAAAAGGAAACCAACAAGAAACCACCATTTTTTTTGCCGGGGTATGTAATCCATTGTAAAGGGAGACCAAAGGGAAACCAAAGTCAGAGATCTCATGCTCACAACTCAGGATCTGCCCGCCATTTCTCGGCTGCGCAAGCAGATCGCCATGCCAGTGCTAGCCAACGGCACCTCGGAACGTGCAGCAGGATCCCCCAAGGCGGCGCGAAGGGACCAAAGGCAACCAACACAACCACACAGACACAGACTCACAGACACACCGACTCACACACACACAGACACACATAGACTCACAGACAGACACACAGACGCACAGACACAGACACACAGACTCACAGACACTGACACACAGACTCACAGACACACAAACACAGACTCACAGACACACACACACACACACACGCACAGACACACCCAGACACACACACACACAGACACAGACTCACAGACACACCGACACACACAGACACACACACACACACACAGACTCACAGATAGACACACAGACACACAGACACAGACACACAGACTCACAGACACACAAACACACAGACTCACAGACACACACGCACACACACACACAGACACACCCAGACACACACACACACACTCACAGACGCACACTCACAGACACACCGACTCACACACACAGACACACACACAGACTCACAGATAGACACACAGACACACAGACATAGACACACAGACTCACAGACACAGACACACAGACTCACAGACACACACAAACACCCAGACTCACAGACACACACACACACGCACAGACACACCCAGACTCACACACACACACAGACACAGACTCACAGACACACCGACACACACACACACAGACTCACAGATTACCGCGCACAGATCACCGCGCAGAGCGCAGAGCGCACGCACAGCGCACAGCGCACAGTGCACAGCGCACAGCGCGCGCCGCACACGCGCACAGCGCACACCGCACACCGCACACCGCGCACCGCGCACCGCACAGCGCGCACCGCGCGCTTCGCACCGCACACCGCGAGCGCACAGCGCACAGCGCACAGCGAACAGCGCATTGCGCACAGCGCGCACCGCGCACCGCGCACCGCACACCGTACGCTGCACACCGCACACCGCACACCGCGCACCGCGCGCCGCACACCGCACACCGCACAAAGCGCACCGCGCAACGCGCAACGCACAACGCACAACACACAACGCACAACGCACAACGCGCAACGCACACCGCACACCGCACAAAGCGCACCGCGCAACGCGCAACGCACAACGCACAACACACAACGCACAACGCACAACGCACAACGCACACCGCACACCGCACAACGCACACGCACAACGCACACGCGCACACACACACACACACACACACACACACGCACACGCACACGCACACGCACACGCGCACACACACACACACGCACACGCACACGCACACGCACAGACACAGACACACAAACACAGACGCACAGACACACAGACTCACACACACACAGACACAGACGCACAGACACACAGACAGGCAGACACACTCACAGACACACAGATAGACACACCGACACGCAGACACAGACACACAGACTCACAGACACACACACACAGACACACAGACTCACAGACACACACACACACACAGACACAGACACTCAGAAACACACTCACAGACTCACAGATAGACACGCGCAAAGACACACAGACACACAGATAGACACACAGACGCGCAGACACAGGCACACAGACTCACAGACACACACACAGACACAGACACGCAGATTCACACAGACTCACAAGATAGACACACAGACAGAGACACAGACACACAGACTCTTAGACTCACACGCAGACACACAGACACACAGACACACACAGACACACACAGACACACAGATAGACACACAGAGACACACAGACGCAGCCACAGACACACTGACTCACAGACACACTCGCGCACACACAGACATGCACACAGAGACACACCACACAGACACATACACACACAGACACAGACGCACACACGCAAACATACACACACACACACAGACACAGACACGTACACACACAGAGACTCACGCAGACTCCCTTGAAACACCACACAGACACACTACACAGACACACCACACAGACACACCACACAGACACACACACACACACAGACACAGACGCACATACGCACACACACACACCACACACAGGCACACCACACAGACACAACACACAGACACACACACACAGACACAGACTCACACAGATTCAGACGCAGACACACAGACACAGACGCACAGACACAGACACACAGACACAGACACGCACACAAAGACTCACACACGCAAAGACACACACACAGACACGCACAGACACGCGAATGGGGGAAGTTAATTGTTGGGAGTCCTTTGTTTTTTCTTTCTTTGCTTGTTTCTTTATTGCTTGCTCTCTCTCTCTCTCTCTCTCTCTCTCTGTATGCTCTGTATGCACATGTGGCCTTTGCCGCGTGTTTCTAGGGGTGTCATAGAACACGGCGCAAATACATCATCTTGCTGGTTCTCAGATTCCTTCCAAGCAATCCCTGAGCTTCTCAAAGCCGAGCCATTCCCTAAGCGACTCGCCGGGCTGTCGCTCCGAGGCAACGTGCGGCGGGCCCGGGTCGCTTGGCCCGCATCGAAAGCATCGGCGTCGAATCCCCGCGAACAGTGGGAAGGAGGCCTCACATTGCCGGGCACTTGGGCCGTAGACAAGAGTATCAGCATGCTGCTGAGTTTCCGTCGTCGAAATTCATGTTAGACTCAACTCCCCCGCAGCTCCCCCAGAACTGGGGGGTTTATTCAGGCACAATGTGTGTTTTATCCGCTGAAAGGCAACTTCTGGTTTTGGCCCATTCGCTGAGTTCGGGCTCGCAGAACCGGACACCAAGGTGTTTCCATTTTGGAAAGTACGTGGTCGAAGTTTGTCCGGCTCAAGTTTTGCTACAGGCCACTAACACATTGGTTGGCCCCTTCGACATGGGCTGCGGAGCTAGCGCAATGTCGATCTCTCATGAGCCGCACTCCTGTGCCGCGGCTACTTTGGTCTTGCGAAATGTGAACCAGCCCCCAGGGCTCCCCATGCTCCCGGGACTGAAGCTCAAAGAACATTCCATCGACTACGACGAGGACACTCACTTGCCCAAAGCGAATCGGCCTTTTAACCGTTTGGTTTCCTTGAATTGGTCGACACGGATGGACGGACCAAATTCTCTGTGTGTGTGTCTTTTTTTAGGGGGCCCCCAAAACTGGTTGGTTTCCTTTTGCTTTCCTTTGACCACAAAAGCAGTTACCGTAGTTAGCCCTAAAAAAGACACATCTACATTTCCTGTAGTCATGGTTCCAAAAGGCGATCGCCTCTGATTTCCATGCGCCCGTCAGGAGACCATGCAGTCCTTCCATTCCATGACCTTCAAAGACTCCCCGTCCAGAGCCACACCGCCGGTGGCCAAGACCCATAAAGCATACCTCGCGAAGTTGCAGAAGGCCCTGGACTCTATTCCGCCGGAGCCAGTCTTTCAAGAGGAGATCCGCGAGCGCAGGTTGGCCCATTTCCTCAGGAATGAGAGCCGAAAAGCAAACCGTCGAGCCAGAGGCTCCTGATATCCGAGGCCGAAGCCAATTCGGATGATTGGAGTCAACCAAGGGCTTCCATTTGCTTAAGAAGTGATTTCCCCTGTTGGTTTCCAAGGGATTCTATCACTTCCTTTTTCTTTTGGTTGTTTTGTAATTTTTCCAGTGGGCTCTACTGCAAATGGAAGAGAGCCACTGCGCCGAAAGGAGTGGCCATTTGCCATGCCCCAAGAAGCCATGTTTAAGGACACAAACCATGTTCAAACCTGTTGAGGTGTCGATTTCACATGGAACTCACGTCAGGGAGCATACTGCACCCAGGTCTTGTGCGACATTAGGTCGAAGGGAGTTTGCTGGAGGTTGCTCCTGAGTGCATGCAAATTTTAAGATGTGTCTTGCACACACCAAAAAGGGCACCGACCTGTTGCTGCACGATAGCTTCCCTTGCCAGCTGCAGGAACACACTCATACCATTTTGCAGGCAAGCCACGTACTCTTCAGGATGCCATGTTGTGGCATGTTTTTGGTGACATCTGGTAGCAATGCCTATCATTCATCAGTTCTATCAAACGGGCAACCTCACACGGCAGCGTGGCCCGACAAGGAAGCTTCCGTTGTTTATGCGCACTTTTGGGATATGAAGTTAAAGGGTTCCCCATTTCACGGATTATCTTACGCCTCCAACACGCCGCACAGATCCCGGTTAGAGTTGATACCGTGTATGTTTGGGATTTGAAACAGGGCATCACTTCCTGTGCCAGCTGAGGCCCTGAAGTTCTGGGCCCACAATTTCTCACTTGCTCATGACTCCTCACTTCCTGAGTTCATGAACTTTATACTTTTTAGTGGCAAACAAGCAGTTCAGACTTTTTCTGGCCAATCCACTCGGGAAGTGAGTGGCACCATTCACACGCTGCCCCAGACGCCGGAGTGGTCTTAGCGGTCCACATAAAGGTTTTGGGGGGTTTGTGTGTGTGTGTGTGTGTGTGTGTGCGCTTCAGAAAGTTGCAGTGGTGTCGTCGGCAAGTATGGAATTGATCAGCAGGGATGGCCAATTGAAGGGCCCTAGCGTTAGCGCAGATTGGCGAAGTTTTGTAAGGGTGTGGACCAAATTCACACCATCGTGGTGTGTTAGTCAACCCAGTGGAACTGTGGCGTTTGCGACAGCAAAAGGGGTGGGACGCACATTTGGGCGAACCTCAGGCTGGACGGATCATTGTGTGTACGCGTGTTGTTTCTCAGCTGTTCCTATTGCCAACAGAGCAATGCAATGCAATGAAAGGGAAGAGCCGTTTCTCGGCTTTCCTTTCATCAGCTGGGGTCAACTATTCCTCCATGGGTGGCTCAGAGAAAAGCCAAAGTTGCAAACCAGGGAGCCTGAGGCTTTTCTTGCAAAAGGAGAAATGATAGATTTTCCCCTGAGAACATGTCTGAAGCGCAGTTCAGGGAATGCTTTTCAAAAGCCAAAGATGCAAAGCACGGGTCGAGACAGGGACGAATCTATCGCAAGGGGTGAACCGAGAGGCAGTTTTGGACAGAGCGGTTTCAGGTCCAAAAGCATCTCTGCGCTTGAGGTGTTATTTGAGTCGGTACTCATTTTTTTGTGGTTTAAAAGGGAAGCCAAAAGGAAGACCATACTACATCCGTTTTTCTTTGTGGGGGGGGCTCCTCCAGAAGAGGATCCCGAGTTCGAGTGAAATGATTTCCCCCATGGGTGGTCTTCCCGTTGGTTTCCCTGTACGCCAAGCCCAAAGAAGGGTTCCCTCAAAGGGCCCAAGTCCAGGTGAAAAAGCCCCGAAGCTCCAAAAGCCCACGGTGAGTTTCTTGGGTTTTGGGGAGTCCTTGTTTGGGCCATGTTTTTCTTCAATAAAACCAACTCCGGTGGATCCACTCCACTTTCACTTGGAAGCAGCGCATTTGAATTCCCCTCCCTCCAATCAACATGGAACCTGACGAACGGGACCCGCTCCCTTGAAACGAAGAATGGTCCAAACCAGGACCCCCCCAGGTTTTATCTTTTGATTGGTGGGAGGGTATGTTTTCTTCCCCCCGAGTTTCCAGGCTGGCAGGACACGTCGCACGTTGCGCTTGCGTGTCCGGTGTCCAAAGAAGGCACCAGGGGTTGAACTTCCGATCTTCGGGGCGCTTTCTCGATCAGCGCTTCACTCCTCGCAGCTCGGGCAGAAGTGGGCATGGGTCAAGATAAACCGCCATGGACCGCAGGTTTTAGTCCTTGTTTCCATTTAACAGGGCAACCTATTTTGGGTACCTATTTTTGACCCACCTTCAAGTGAAGAAGCATAAAACACGATTTTTGCTTCAGCGTCAGCTCCCTGAGACTCAGCTTCGGGCTCCCGAAGACAGGTGTGACCTTTGTGTTGCTTCAACGTCACGAGGACATTCTGACCAACCTGAACCTCACCAAGTGCGCCTGGGACCTTAGAGCTAGCGCTCAGGGCTTTCGTGGCAACTGGGGAAAATCCCGGTTGGGGGGGGGGGGGTTAGAGGAAACCAAGGGGAACGACGAGGAAACCCCTCTGGCAGGCAAAACCCAGCTTGAAGTGGCTTAAGAATGTTAGTTATCTTCTCCTGTTGCTTCAGGGAATTTATCACTGGACATGTGTGTGTGTGTGTGTTTTGTGTTTTTCCAGAAAGGATCTGGAAGACAGAACCATAAAAACACAGGGGAACGCTTTTTCGGGATGCGGGGAAAACAAAGACACCGAAAGGGAAACCAAACCGAGAAGCCATTGGAAGTCCCCTTTGAGCACGGGATTTGAAGGCCCCTGTCTGTGGGTATGTGTTGGACAATCTCCAAAATGATTCGGTTTTCCTTTGGATTTCGCTTACCCCAAAATGGTACCAACTCGAAACAGCACATATTTGAGGTCTTACGGACAAGAAAGTGCCAAAAAGGGCATGGGGTATAAACTCCGCCAATGGCGAAATTTGGAGACAACGGGTCCAATTCCATCATCACTCAATGAAAGCCAGCGAGTCTCGCTTGATGTTTCCGAGAATGTTTATGGGGAAGCACACCCTCAGACATATGGGCATGCTTCCCTGTGAATCCACCAAAGGCTCCAAGAATTCCACATCATGTTCCTCTTGTTTTCACCGCCCTTCTCCAACATGCTAAAACGAAACTTCACCCCATGGTTTGCTGCCATGTAGGCATCGATTTCGAGGTTTTGTACACCTAAAGGGGTCTTTTTCCGTGTTTTTTTGGTCGTCCCCGCTGGTTTTCCAACTGAAGATCTCAACGGACGGCCTGGGCTTTTGCCGGAAAAAGTTGGGCTCGGGTTGGATCCGGCCGTATCCTATGATTCAGGGCACCAAGGCTTCTACGAATCATTCCCAGCCCCAATTTGCTCCGAACCCCTCGCTTGGGTTCTGCGCATGTTTGAGCTGCCCGTCTTGCTGTTTGAGTTATTTTGGGGGTCTCTCAAAATGGCGAGCCCCTTTTTGGAGAGTAAAGGGAAGCAAGGAAACAAGCCATAAAATGGGTCACCAATTTTGAGAAACACCCATATGCATAATGTTGTAAGAATATATAATTCCCTGGCCAGCTTTTCCTTCGTTGATTCCCAGGATTTGTTGCTTCCCCAGGAACAATGATCCCTGGATAGAAGATCCGAATATCGCCTCGGGATGAATAGGGGGGGGTGTCCCACTTTAGACGGAATTCTTTAAAACCGGGGGGGGAGACCAGGGGATCAATCTCTGCCAAATCCACGTGGATTGGGGGGTGTCTCATCTGGTTTTGCCTCGGATAGCCCCGAATGATAATCTCAAACGAAGGATCTGGTGTCTCTCACTTGGCTATGAACATTCATAGGGAAGTGGCGGACATGAATCCCCACCGAATTCTGTCCACACAAGGGTCCCTACTGAAATTTCGGATCTTAGAAAAGAGATTCGGACCAAAAATGGCTTCGGTTTCGCATTTGTTTTCAATTTAGAATCCCGAAAGTGTACCGAAGGACGTCAAACTACCCTTGAACCAAGGGATTCAGCCCATTATGTTGCAGCAATATCCACAACTTCTGGTTAGTTTGGGGGTCTGGGTACCCAAAAACCGCCCATTTTGGTGCTCCTTTCGGTACCCGAAGCTTCCATTTGCTTACATTTTTTTGCTTGTCCCTTGTTGGTTTCAAAGGGAAGCGATTTCGCCACTGGACATATGTTTTCCAGGGGGCGAAAAAGCATTTCATCAGCAAGAGGAGCTGATTGAGGTTCCAGTTTAGGGCCCCTCAAAATCCCATGTTTCACGTGGGGAGGGTCCTTTCGGTCAGGATGGCCTCATGGTGGCGGAGCAGCTCTTGCGCGACCCCGCTCTATTCCAACGAGCGATCGGCTCGGCGCCTTCGGTGCTGGAGCTGGCGGCGGAGTATTGCGGGTGCCGCTGGCTTCAGTTAGCTCGAAAAGGGGAGGTGGTTTTGGTGTGGTTTGGCTCAGGAGGGTTTGCCTGGAAATGTCTGCAAGAAGGGGTTCAAATCCGCCAAGCACCAAGGGTTAGCTCATTGAGGGGGGGAGGCTCCTCCTTGAGTCGTTTGAAGTCTTTGTTTGTGGCGGTGTGTTTGCCGTTGCCTCAAGACGGGTATGGCCTCTTTGACATTAGGGCAGGTCCGTTCTCTATGCCATTTGTCACAATACCTTGCGAGCTGGATGACTTTGGTTGGTTTGAAGCCGGTGTGGGACAGGCATTGAGCACTTAAATTGGGGTGCTTTTCACCACCCTTCCACCCAATTTATCACTACATCTAAAAGAACTCCAACACACCAGACTACGCGCAGATGTCCTGTTTACATGAGTTTGATTGGGCAAGCCGCTGGTTTGCACAACGGTTTATTGCCATCCATTTCCCGTAGAGATTGGTTTGAGGCCATCCATTTACCAGGGAAATTCATCTAGGTCCCCCAGCTAGGTGCCCTCTCTCACCCCTTTTTTGGTTGGGAGGGTTCCCCTAAAATAGACTACCTCTTGCCCCCTTTTTGGGGGGAGGGTTCCTCTACTAAAATAGACTACAGAAAAAAATCGGGCGCCCTTCTTCCCGGACCTGGTCATCGATTTCTCCCCCGAGTGGGAAGTGCTGGCGCGCGGAAAGGCACTGCCTGGCGGAGACACAGCGCTTCACCGCGTGGGAGGTGAGCCCGCGCTCCGAGTCGTTGATTTGTGTGACAGTGATGGTACAGATGCAAATCTATGTTTATTATCAGTATTGTAAAATGAAATACAATAATTCATCATCATTAGTACTACCTTTGTTTGATTGTTATTTTCTTTTAATTAGTATTGTCATTATTACTATCATCATTGTTTCCAAAATTCTTACTACCATTACTATTAGTATTAGTATTATCATCATTTATTATTATTATTCTTCTCATTATTATTCTTATTATTATTATACATTGTTCTATGCATATGCATACACATATATCCCCCCCCCATGGATCTAACTTGCTTCAGAATTCGCTGGCGTGTGCAGTGTTTTCTGCTTTTTTGGGGGCTTTGGGGAAAGCAGAATATATATAACATCTAGTGAGGAAAGACAAGCTGGGTCTTTCTTCTAGTTTGCCTTCCCCACAAAAGGAGTGAAACGACGATAACATCTCAATTAAACTTCAATTTCAGCCCATTGGCTTGCAAGTTTTGAGTTGCCAGGCTACAAGTTTCAGAAGGACGTTCATCCGATTCAATTGGAAGTAAACACATGTGAACAGGTAGAACAAATCAGCTCATGGTCCTGAAGTAAATGCTTCGACCGTGGACTGAAATATTTTATCTTTGGCCTCATATTGTTTCTTTTTTGTTTTTTTGCTTTCGGGTCATTGGCTGCAGAATTTTACTTCTTTACGTTTTTAATTTTGGGCCAATGGCTCCAACATAGCTGTTCTTTTGCATCTTCTGACAAAACCTCAGCTTAGGAATAGGACAAAGCTAGATCCAAGCCGACTGGATTCAAGATTCCCTGGAAAAAGTTGGCCTAAAGCTTTCAGATTGGACATGCTAATTCGCACTCTAGTGTCTTCCCTGAACGCTACTCAATTGCCAAATCTTAAAGGAGTGTCTTCTGTCACACTGACCCAAGTGCAGGTCCTTCGGGTCCTTTGAGGAGGGGGGGGCGGGGTAGCACACATAATACGCATATGTATATATATATATATAGATAATACCATACCTGCAGATGTTTACATACAGTACAATTCTTGAATTGCATGCATACATGCACGAAATGCAGACACGATCATATCACGCAGGTCAGAAGCTGAGCCGAGACCAGGCAAAGGCATATAGACACGCATGTGCGCACATATATTTTTAGATATCACATGCATCCATCTATATAAGGTTGCATGTTTGTTGTTATTGTTCAACATTCTGCGCAAAGTGTTTGCGGTTTCACTGCTTCCGGTGGTGACAGCTTGCACTTTGTTTTGTTGTTAGCCTCCCTTTGCGGCAATATGCATCTTTCGGAAGTACACACGCATACACACCCACTACCTGTATGCCGGAACAAGCTAGGCATGTGCGCGGCTAGATTTCTAATCAGTCCACACTTGAGATTTGCTGGATTTGTGGCAACATTCTGTGATGCTGTCACAAGTTCAGACGTATCAATTATATCGGAAATTGAGTGGAGCTATGCTACTTGCATGGCCAAGCGCGGCTGTAGCTACCCAATATGCTACTTGCATGGCCAAGCGCGGCTGTAGCTACCCAATATGTGAGTCTTCTGCATGGATTTCATCGGTTTGGGTAGGACACTTACAAAGGGAGTACGTGTTGCTGGGTAATGTTGACCCCGGGTTGATACACCCGTCCTATGAATAGGGGGATGTTCCCCTCCAAAAGTGATGACCCCCCACTAAAGCCAGAGAGACCCCCATACTAATACAGGGAGGTTATTCATCCTGGGTTGACATTGTCTTCAGTTGTTGATGGTGGATGTTCATGAGCAGGTGTTTCCCAAACAGAAAGCTCTTTTGGGATGGTAATAGAGGGAGCCCAGGAGACCAATCCGTCTTTAGCATCTTTACCGCTCCCTATTACCTATTCACAAGCCGGCTAGGCCAGATGTTCAGCTCAAAAATGTTGGGCGCACGGTTTTCCGTCCAAAACCAAGACCCGTGATCTTTCGAAGCGGCATGTGCAAAAGAAACCAGCACACCGCCATTTTGCGGGCTCCGATTTTCAGAGAACCATGGGCCAGTTGCGAGGCGGAGAACGTTGACGTGCTTCGTAGCCACCTGAGGCACGTGGTCGCTGGTGCTTCGGCTGGCGATGTCAATGACTTTTTTTCGGGTAGCTTGAGGGTCCGGGTACCCCACATTGCAGTACCCTAAGCTTCCATTTGCTGAAGTTACTTTTTGTTACTTTCCTTTGCTGGTTTTAAGGGGAAACTGGACATATTTGTCATGTTTTCCAGGCAAAAAGGCAAATGGAAGTTTGGAGTGGAAGTTTGGACAGGTGAATCTCCTGTAGCTCTTAGAGTGGAAGTTGGAGAAAGTCACCTTGGACATAGGACAGTAACCCAAGTGCTTCCTGAACATGGGAACCTATTTCCCAAACGGCGAGAGGTGGGTGACAGCACGTGTTGCCAAAAGTTCCACCAATTTGAGACCCACAAAGTAGGATGGTTGAATAACATCATCGACTATTTTGACGAGAGCTGGGGAGGGAGGGAGCCCAAGGCCCTATTCTGTCCCTCCCCCCCCGTTTGCCCAGCCCCCATGACATCAGTGGCTGGTAGATGCCTCCACTCACTTGATGCAACACGCGGGTGACCTCCTCGCCGTCCCTGCTGTTCTTATTCGCCGAGGGGGAGGGGATGCGAGGCGGGACCTTGTGTTCCGCCATTTTGTTCAAACAAAGCCACTGCTTATGGCAGCGTCCCGAATTCTCTTCCCGCTGTCCCGAGTTTTTGTTTTTGAGGCACCATGTACCCGCAGTGGCAAGCCTCAGCTCCCAAACCAGTAGCCCAGGAGGGGTGGGGACTTGGTCCTGGGCTGCCTGCCGCATCCATTCCTCTTAGCAACGAAGCCCGAGTAAGCTACAGCAAAGTAGGACAACTGCAAAGTTGGGACCATCCTGGTTCTCAGGGTATGCACCTCAAGGTTTGGGAACGCTCCCGAAGTAAATCCCCGAACTGGAATTTGCCAGTTGGATGATTCAGTTCAACAGAACGAAGTTTGCCGGAAGCTGCTCAGACCAGCAAGCCACCTACCTTAAGTGGGAAGCTACCCTACAACCATTCCCCACCTTCTTTTTAGAAATGAGTATTGTTTGTTTTTCCGTGTTGGTTTTAAAGGGAATGGAATCGATGTCACTACTGGACACATGTTTTCTGATTTGTTCCAGGGATGAAAAAAGAGTTAACTGGGAGTACGAGGCAGCCATTTTTATGGGAAGTTTGGAGGGTCCGGGCCCCCAAAATCCCAGTTTTCACGGGGTATGAGGGGAAACAATCACTCGGTTTGAGCTGATTGAACTTCAGCCATGTGGGTGTGGCTCAAAATTAAAGTGGTGGGGCAAGCCGCAGGTTTTCTTCTTTGGTTCCATTTACCGAAATGCAATTTTAAGGATTCCATTTTTAAGCCACAACCATATTGAATCTTGATTTTGCCTGGTGCGAACTCGGGGAATGAAAATTGGAACCCCTACCAACCACCCATGGTTTCCTTTCTTCGGGAATCCCAAAACGGTTCATTCCAAACCCCCCAAAAAAAGGCCAATGGAGAGGAACCGGGTGAAATTTTTCAGTGGGCACCGGAAAAAAAGGGGCACCAACCTGTTGTCTTGGCGGCGTTTATGTAGCAAGTTCTTTTTGGTTGGACCCCCAAATTTCAGTTAGTTTTTAAACTCAGTTCTTGAGTTGGAAGTTCTTTGGTTGGTTTTCGGTTAAAAAATCAGTGGGCGCGTTTGGGTCCATCAGCGCGCGCTCGCGTTGTCCACGGGGCGCAGGTCGATGCTCTGCGGTGGGGTGGGCGCCTCGGAGGCGGATCCGGGCACCGAGCGGCTGCTGGGGGAGGCGACCCGGGCACGGGCCAGGCGCGGGTGGGGGGGGTGGATGGAGTGGGCTGAGGGGGTGGCGCTCTTTGTGGCGAGCGCTGTGGCTTTAGTGAGTTTATGGGTGACCACGGGCTTGCCGCTGAAAGACCAAATGGTTGGGAACTGGGATCCGCTGGGTAGGGTTTGGGACTCCTTTTCCCATAGCCAACTATTCAGGCCTTCTTCTGGGGCTGTCTTGGTTTCCTTCGCCTTGAATTTTGTTGGGGGTTCAATGGAGGTGCCTTTTTTTCTTACTAACACAGGAGTGGCTCAGGCGGTTGGTTGGTTGGTTGGTTGGTTGGTTGGTTGGTTGGTTGGTTGGTTGGTTGGTTGGTTGGTTGGTTGGTTGGTTGGTTGGTTGGTTGGTTGGTTGGTTGGTTGGTTGGTTGGTTGGGCCGGCGGGGGCGGGCGGGCGGGCGGGTGGGTGGGTGGGTGGGTGGTTTGGTTGTGGTTGTGTGGTTTGGTTGTGTGGTTTGGTTGTGTGGTTTGGTTGTGGGTGGTTGGTTGGGTGGTTGGTTGGGTGGTTGGGTGGTTGGTTGGGAGGTTGGGTGGTTTGTTTGGGTTGTTGGGTGGTTGGGTGGTTGTGGGGTTGGGTTGGTTGGCAGATTGGCATGACGGGGGGTGGGTCAACATCAACGCACCAAAACTAGGAGCAAACCAGCAACAAAAACAATGAACACTCCCCTTCAGCAACAGTATGCACTGCTGAAACCAGCCCCAAAACCTGACACAAGCCAGCCCAAAGCCACGCCCAAGTTTGCCCAAGTTCAACCATGAACTAAGCCAAACAGAAACTAACGCCAAGCGGTGGTCACGCCCCAGCTAGCCCCAAACGAACCAAACACCCACCCTGACAAAGTCCGAAAACCGTCTAAAGGCCACCCCTGCCGCGAGAACCTTGAAAATGCAGCATGTGGAAACAGATCGGAGACCGAGCCCGGTGCTCGGGCTGTTGCCCTCCACCCGCCCTGATCACAGTCACGATGCCCACACCCAGCCGCTTGTATCGAGCTGCCCCTAAGCAAAAGCCATTGCTAGCAAAAAGTGACGGACACTGGAAAGGCCAAGCTTTTTCTTGGGTGCCAGGTATGTGCTCGACTGGTGGCGGATCCAGCAGGCCGAAGGGGCTGCTTTTTTCAAGGTCGTCGCGAGGCGGTGCCACCCCCAAACCGACATGTAAGCCCGACATCTGCCGCAAAGGTGGGCCCCAAGTTAGAGGGTGGAAGGATAGCTGAGGTGAGATGGGTGAGTGGGCAGGCGCCAAAGTTCTGGGTGGTCGGCTTGGGAGCGCTTCGAGATTGGGGTTTTGGGCTCATAGTTTTTCTTGCTATGCTATGCTCCACACCGTTTTCCTTTTGGCTTCTCTTTAACCAACCCCAAGCAGGTACCCTGATCAAAAACACACACCCATTTCCACTTAATTTGTTCGTCCACAATATTTGGGGCTGACAGGGATTCGGACCCCTAGTTTGGGTTTCGTTCTTGGTTTCCATTTACCATCGCAACAAAAGGTCCACGCCAAAACACCCATGAGTCACAATCAAAACCCGGGTAAAGGAAGGTTAGTAAGGGCCAATCCCAGCCATAAATGGTTGCGGCCTCCTTTTCAATTCCTTACATGGTTCTGGGTTCACCATTTTTGTACCAGGTTTGAGTACGACTCACATGCGCAGTGAGAGACGGACCGCCTGCACCCGCCGCAAAAAGAACAGGCTACCTCGGTGGAAGAGGCGGTGGCACTCTACCGCGAGCGCTGTGCCAGCATATGCCCAGAGGCCTGGGGGCTCTTTTTTTTAATTTAATAAGGATCGGCTCACTCATGGACTTTGAAGAGGGCTCCTTAAAAGAAATTCATTTTGCAACCAATTGAACCAGGTGGCTTTTTCAACACCAAAATAAAGGGAAGCCACCATTTACAAGTTGCAATGTTCAAAACCAATGGTACCATTTTAAGGTAGGTGCACCACCCGTTTTAGTCTATTTTAGTGGGGATTGGGATGTTCACTGGGGGTACTGGCTTTTGACCCATGGCCATTTCAGTGGCAAGCGCAATGTTTGGACTTTTTTTGCCAGTCCACTCAGGAAGTGGGTCGGCAAAAGATGTGCCTGTTGTCAAGTTCGGCTGGCGCCGGGCTTAAAAGATGGGCATGAGATGGCATGAGATTTGGCAAGGGACCCTTTGGTGGAGGATTCATGTCCACCTCTTTTGATGTTTCGACTCTACAAATTCACAGCCAGATTGGGTTCTCAGAAGGACAAGAGTTAGAATCTTGGTAGGACCTTGATAACCCGGTTGCCTGTCAACCATGGAGCTCATGGTTTTTGGGTTGCCAGCGAGGGAACCACCTTTGAAGTGCGAAAGTAGTCGGGCTTGGATTTTCGCAACATTTTTTTCATAAAAGGGGAGGGGGGCATTTCCCACGAAGATGTCTAAGCAAAAAGATGATCAAACCACGCGGTAGAACATTGGTCAATTTCCAGGGGTTGCCAAGATCACACTTCAAATGGGCACCTAGAGTGGCGCTGTGCATCATTGATCTGGTGAGGCCGCTCGGGGCTGGGAGTAACCTGCAGACAAACGTGGGAGCTTCAGGACCCCTTTCAAAGAACTTGGTTCCATTTGCAAAGGCCTATTGGGCAGCTTCTGGCTGTTAGTCTGAGGGAGTGTATCCAATTTGGCAGAAATCGGGAGCCGAAATCGCAGTTGACATCGGAGCTACCACTCACTCCCTGAGTTCATGGATTTTAAACGATTTGGGTTTGGACCATTTCAGTGGCAAACACAATGTTGGGACTCAGGAGGTGAGTCCAGGCCCGGCCTTCGGAAGGCGAGTGCTGGCTTTCCGGCGCCAGCCGCACCGCCCGCGCCGCGGCAAACGGCGCCCAGCTTCGAGGCGACGCCGCGGCTGGCGCGAGGCGGAGTTGGCAGTGGGGTCGCAGAGATTTGGGGGGGGGGTCTCAAGTTCCATTTTCAGGGATCAGAGTTTGACATTTATGCTGTTTGGTGGGTGCTTGTTGGAAGTCTTTTGGTGGGTGGTTTGGATGGTTTGTCGGGATGCTTCGAACTTGGGGTCAGCCCCGCACTGGCGGGACCCCCAGATCCGGAGAAATTCTCGAACTTGGATCTTCCGCTTGGTGGGTTGGGCATTTGGCTGGGAGAAGTTTCAGTATGTCGTAACATAAGACATGGAGCGGTGTCAACTGTTGCCTTTGTTGAAATGCGGGCGCCTCTTGGATTCGGGGTCCTTAGGGTGCTAGTCCTTTGCTCAAGGCTTGGATTTGAAGTTGCGAGTGCCCCAGCTGAGGCCCAGCCAAAGCTTTGGAGGGTTTGGTCGACATCTCAGGTCTCCTCATCTTCTGAGTGGATCAAAGTTAGGGGTGGTAGACAGGGAGCCTAGGCGCCAAGGCGTAGGTCGGTCAGGCTGGCTCCTCAGCGCTGCGGCTGCGGTCAAGGCGGGGCAGGGGCAGACCATAACCCTGGGAAGAAGCTAAATACGAGGATGCTCGAACATCAGTTTACGCATTGAGCAACTCCGGTTTCCGGACGGTCGGCTTCTGAACTGAGGGATTCCTGTGGGTTGGCTGACTTTGGTTTACTTCGAGGCCGCTTTCAAACGAAAAATGGGCGTGTCCTTTGTAGATGTTTTGGGTGTTTTGAAGGGACACCACAAGGACAACCACCGGTTTTTTGGGGCCAAATCCCAAAAATGACATGCACATGTCAAGAGACACTTGCTAGCTGTTTGCGGGGCGATTCTCAGCTCCTTTCAGAGTTCTGGAAGGGTATGTTTAAATGGGACATATGAAGTTGCACGGATATGAATGGTTCTGTACCAAGCCCTTTGCCCTTCCGTTGTGTTTATGGCTGAATGTATGTCCTTGATTTTGAGGTCACCCCTTTTACGACTGTTATAAAAGAGCACACAAAAATACTACCCATGTTGGAGGTGCCCCCCCCCCCTCTCCCCCCTTGGAGACAATGGGGTTCATTCAGCCAGCGCGCTGAACATGAACCATGACTTGTTAGACCAACCCCCAAAAGGGCGTGGGTTCAATGGACTTATGGTGCTTCCCCAAGAAAGGTTGCTTGGTCATGTTTCCGTTCTCCTTGGATGCACTTTGGTTAAACCAGAATAACCATTTTGTGTTGGAAGACGATAGCTTCCCCACTCAGGAAAGGGTGACCAACCTGCGCAGCCATACTGCTGGGTGAGGCTCTGTCTTTTGGGACACCAACAGCAACCGCCTTTGTTTGGTGTCCTCCTATTTTGACCCATAGCCAGACGATGACGTCTTTTTTGCGCCTTGCCGCCTTGCCAGGCGCTGGCGGTGTCGCTCTATGCGTGGCTGTGGCCAACGCCGTGCCAGCCCAGTGCTGAGAGTTTGCTTGTGGTCTGTTTGTGTGTTTTCCCATGCGGGTTCTGGGATTGAAACGGTTTTAGTCATGAGTGGAGTTTGGGGCCAAAAAGAAGACTAGACGTTTTGTTGGTCATGGGGCTGCAAACGGCCGAGGGAGCCCCGAGGCCTTAAGTATTCAACGCCTCGTCAAGGGCGGGCTCCCTCTTCCGCCCCCATGAGTTTTTGGCTTCCCTCTTTTGCTGAGCCTCAATAGGTTTGTCTGTTTTTAGGGGACCCAACATGGGTGGGTTCCCCCTTGGCATCTTTCAACTGACCCAAAGGGGTGCCGAGGCTCAAAAAACGACCGGACACCTGAATGGGGTTCCAACCTTGGTCCATGCCAACAAACAGGTACATTGTGTGCATGCGATCCCACCCCCGGTTTCCAGCTGAGTCGTTTTGTTGTTTCTTGCGCCGGGCTCGACCTTCAGCTCCTCGGCCCAGAATGGCCGGTCCGCGAGCAAAACGGGAGCCATTATCACGCGCACACGCGCATGACTCGGTTTTCGGGGGGTTGAAAGCTTAAGACCGCTCTCGGAAACCTTTTCTTTTTTTCCCCGGAGCCACGTCTTGTTGTGAGAGACGATCGACAGACAATTGAGAGAGAGAGATGGGGAAAGTTGCCGCCGTTGGCCTTCCCCCAGAAAAGTGTCCCGCAACAACGCCTTTGGGTCATCGCGGCAGTCAGAACCTGCCCAGGCCTAGCTGCGTCTCCTCCAATTCCGCGCGTGTGCGCGGGAAGCGGAGGGAGAAAGGAGCGCCCGCTGCTGCAGCTGCTCCCGAGTGCACTCGAGGGATCGACTTCAACAACAACCGGAACAAAGACCACACATGGCCTTCTATCTTATGCTCATTACGAGGAACGACGGCTCCCAATCGAAACGTAGGCTGGGAATTTTTCCGGCGCCCTCTTGTGGGATGCACCTTGCGCCACAAGTCTCATCGCGGCTAGACGTGTCATTTGCGATCGGGATGACTTGAAGTCTCCCTCTATTTTTTTCAGAAGGGAAAACCGCTAGGGTAGTCAATGAGTCAAGCCTCCAAAGCAACTCTGTGGCGCGTGAGCGCATAAGCGGGTCGCCGTGGATGAGAGGGAAACCGGTGCGCCATGCCTGGACCAGGTCACGCGCAGGCTCTACGAGCCCTTGATTGAGAAGACCGTGGACACTGAGGCCATTGCGGTGGTGGGTGTTACCTGCAACATTTGGCCGTACCACAAATCAGCTACCATCAGGAAGCGTGAGGGGTTGCGACTTGGAGTTTTGAATTGGCTGGCTTGTTATCAGGCCCGCGAAGATGAAGCGTTTGACCACTCGGCCAACTGTCCGATGCATTTACGCGAAGCGACCCCCTGGAAGAAAATAGCGGACTGCACCCGCAATTTCGCGGTCATGACCCCACATCGGAACTCCCGACCGCATGGGGATGTTGCTCTTTCTTGCTGCATTCCATTACCCTGTTTTGGGTACTCTGTTTTGTCCGCGGCTGGGCGGGCAAAGCGGATTTCAAAGGGAACTCCACCCAAACAAATGGCAATGAAATTTAATAGGGAACCCCCTCCAACCCAACTGCTTGATGGACATGGATCCCCACCTATGTGATGTCCACCAAGGGGTCCCTATTCAAATTCAGATCCAAATGTGTAGTGATCGTTTCAGCAATCGATTGTCTCCCCTACAAAGGGTAGTGATTGGCACCTTGAACCAAGCTCGTCCGTAGGTCAAGGCCCAGAATCTTTCCGGCTCCCAGCGGCTGCGGCGCATCGCGCAGTGACCATAGGGTCGGGAATAGGGTCACCGAATGACTCGCAATCGGTGAGCTGAAGACATGGGTTCCTTCAAATCCCCCCGATTTCCGAGGTTTGACACGTCCCCCATATGCACATGTTTCAAAGGGAAGCGCATTTTGGAGAGCCTTTGGAGTCTCCGCTGAAGGACAATGCATTGCCTGATTTTCGGCCCGCCATCCTTCTTTTTCTAGAAGCCTCTCAAAATACCCCCTTTCTTTCCCCGTGTTCTGCCACCCGCCCAAAAGGAAGCCTTAGAACACAACCTTCCCTTCATGAGCCTTCGCCGCCTTCGGCGCTGGAGCAGCTGATGCCTCTTTTGAAGACATTATATTTCTCTGTTGAGCTATGCTTTTCCCCTCCGACCTGTGTTTTTTTTGTCGGACCCGATGTTTTTTTCTTGGACCTGACAGTTTTTTGTTTTTGTTTTGGTCACCAAGAAAGTCTCACTTTTCCAATGTCCCATGGCCCCTTTGCAAAGACGGGCGCCCACAATCCGAAGATGTTTTGGTTGCCAATGTCAATTGAATGGGGACCTTTTTTTGTGCTCCATTGCCTGTTTCTTGGGCCGTAAACCAAAAGTTGAAAGGGGGGTGTGAAAGGTGAACACAAAACCAGGGACCCTCAATCAAGTTCGACTTGACATGCCGTTCAATGAGCACGGCGCGCCTTGCGCACATCTCGTTTTTTAGCCAAAGATCGCAGCTCCTCCGAACCTACTGGGGATGTGTAAGGGGATGTATACCACCAAAACATGTCATCACTTGATTTATATATGATCATTTTTTAAAGTACCCCACACCCCCGTTCTTATTGTATGTAGGCCTTTATATTACCCTCCCCGCCCCTCGGGTTTTCCCAGGGCCCGTTCCAATGTCAGCTCTGTTGACTTGCCCTCATGGCACATGGCAAGGCCGGTGGCTTGAAGAAACCAACCTGACAAATCCATGTAAACAAAGAACGAGCACTTGCTTCTAGTTATTTCAGAACATTCTAAAACAAAATAAACATTCTTGGCGATTGTCAGGCCCCTGGAAGAGCTTCCAGTAGAAGTTCCTGACTTGGCACTTCAAAAAACCAGCCGTCCATGTCCTTTGGTTTTTCCGTGGGGTTTTCTCCGTTGGTTTGGTTGGGTTTGCTTGTCCCCGTGGAGCGGCCCGCTTGGTTAGGCGGATCGAATCGAGGTACCGGCGGCAGGTGCGCACCCCGTCGCCGGGGAGCCCAGAGACGAGCGAGAGACGATCCCCGGATCCCGGATCCGGCGCGAGAAAAGAATTCATGGCCTAGAGGAAACCAAACATAAAAGGCTCAGTTTGTCTTTCTCTTCTGTTTAAACGTTCCTCAAAAGCAAACATGCAAAAAAGCAAACACCACAAAATGAAAAGCCATGCAAGTGGCGTTTATTTTTGATAGAATAACAAAACACAGCCAAGCACCGCCTTGTTTCGAGGGTCGAAGTAACAAATGTCCTGGTGGTTTGACACATCAAGCATTGTGGCTTGCTCCGGCCGAACAGACTGACAACGTTTGTTTGGATATGGCAGAAAAAACAACAGTAAAAGCAACCATGTTATTTCAGAGTGAAGCATGTTTAGGCTTGTTAGCGGAAAAAGGAGCTTATCCTCAAGAAAACGGCACAGGAGTCCATGTGATAAACTCAATGATGATGAACTACGAACGAAAAAGGAAAGTTTACAGCCAGCTAAGCGAAGAAGATATAGCAAGCGATGATTGTGAAAAGCGAATCACGTACGGGAACACTTCAACCATGAAAAATGAGAGAATATCGTGGTTTGCGTTTGAACGCTGCTGTTCTGTTCTTGATTGACCGGTTGGGCTAAAGTGTTAACCGTAGGTGGTCGCTTGTCTTGACTCTTTGTAAGTATCCACTTGGGCCACCATTTTGGCTCAAGTGGACACTTCCCTTTTGTCTTGGAATCTGAAATTTCTCATTCCCCTCCTACCAAAGCCATGTACACCCCCGCCTATGCTGGTGCCGCGGTTGCAGAGGCTAAGGCGAAGGCGAAGGCATCCATGGCGAAGTACCTGGCAAGCCTTGTGAAAAAGGAGGAAGAAGGTTGGACCGTCCTGGCGGCTGAGGTCCCTCAGGCGCCGGACGAACGGTGCGCCGACGAGCTGGAGCAAGCCCCACTCATCCCAGCCAAGCGTAAGGCCGAGGACGAGCTGATGGCGGACTCCCCCCCTGGGGTGGCGCAGGTGCCGAAGGCCCTGACACGCCCCCCAGGGGCGTTCCTGGAGCTTCTCGACCCTCCAGAGCCGGATGTTCCCATGGAGGAACTCCTGGCGGAAGACGAGGAGGAGCCCCCGATGGAGGAACCCCTGGCGGAAGATGAGGTGGACCCCCCGATGTCCGACACCAAGTGGCAGGGACGCCAGGACCTGATGGAAAAGGCCAGGGCGCAGGCGTCCTCGGAGGGGGATGAGGACCCCGCAGCCCCCCCGCCAGGGGGAAGCGTCTTCACCAAGGCCCTCAAAGTCTCTGAGGGCCTTTACCAATTCAGTGCGGACCAGATGGCGGGCGACTTCCCGTGTTTTGATGGGACCACGGCCGCCAGGCTCCGACGACTGCAGGCCAAGGATGTCCAGCGGCTCTTGAGAGGCGTTGAGGGCCCCCAACTCAAGCAGGGGGGCCTGGAGCGCGTGGTGGAGGCGTTCTACATCGCCAAGATGAAGTATGAGCATGAGGCCCTGCTCAGCACCCCGGGACAGAAGGTTGGCAAGCGCGCTGGCCTGGGGTATGGGGGCCTTGAGAACCGCCCCCTGGGTAAGGAGCCCACATCCTGGATCTGCCCCTGCTGCACCATGCCCTGGGTGAAGAAGGGCGCCAGAAAGTGTATGGGGTGCGGCAAAAAGACGGAGCCCATCGACACGGCGTCCAACTTGGCCACCCTGGAAATGGCGGGCACGCACTGGCAGCTGACAGTGGATGACCAGGGCAATGCGGTCTGGACGGCGGCCCGGTCCGCAGGTGCCGATGGCCCTGACACGGACCGGGCCCGCGACCTCAAGCTCAGCGCCTCGGTGGATGTCAGCGAGCTGGCCACCGACCCAATGGCATGCGAGAACCTGGACCAGGCCAGCTTCTCGGAGTTTGTCCCCTCCTCGGTCCGGGCGGTGATCAGGAACTGCCCCATGGAGCTGGACGAGGATTTCCTGACGGCCCCAATGGGGGAAAGGCCCCCGTTGCCGGGCGACAAGGAAGAGGGCCAGGAGTGCAGGGCCTTCCACCCGTCGGCAGTGAAGGCCTTCAAAATCCAGACCCGGCTCAACGCCACCACCATCGCCCAGGAAGAGGCAAAGAAGGCAGACCAGGTGGCAGCGGTGGAGCGATCTGCGGCGGTCCTCCACGAGCTCCAAGGAGGGGCCATCGATGGAGGAGGCGATGGGGGACAACTCCTCAAGAATTTGGACTTGGACCTTTTCCGCGAGAAACTGCTGGATAAGCTGGGCGCGGACTGGGGGAGGCCCACACCGGAGCTCCTCCAGGCCCAGACCACTGCGGAAGAGGCGAAGGCAAAGCACCAGGCCAGACAAGCGAAGGGCGCCCTCGAGACCAGAATGCTCGAGCCCATCAAGCCTCCATTCAGTGCGTGGCCTAGCGAGATCCGAGTTGCCATTGAGACAGGGGTCTTTGAGCCGACCACGGCATGGAGGGATTTCAGCATGGACGACCTCACGGACTCTTACCTCGAAGCCAAGGCGGTCATCTCGCTGGGTAGGAACCCCTTTCCGGGGGCCCTCCTGGCAGACCTGCCGGATCTGGCGGGGATCCCCATTCCAAAGGCGGGGGGCTCTGGTGCGGCGCGCCCAGGTGCCGAGGGCCCTGACAGGCAGCCCACCATCCCCCCAGCTTCGGGCTCTGGTGCGACGAGCTCAGGTGCCGAGGGCCCTGACAAGCCGTCCGCCACCCCGGAGGGCCTGGACACCCAGGACCCGGAGGTGCAGCTCGCGGTCCTGCGCTGGATGATGAGCAAGCGTGTCGGAGAGGTCCGCATCTTTGCGGGCCGCTGGGTCCGACGACCGGGGCCCGTACACGTCCCGGACTGGGCCAACAACCTCACCAAGGTGAATCCGGAGGCGCTGGAAAGGGTACGCATCCCAGGAACCACCAGGCGGGTGGACTCCCATGGGCCAGGTACTCCGTT